CCTATGCACAGGGCTCACTATGTACTCACACAGCTGACGAGATACAACAGCATTGCTGCCGTCGGGCTGTTCGGACGCCACCAAATGACAGATCTGGCGTGCCCACAATTCAAGTTACCAAATATTCTTTCTACATCGTCTATACATGTCTCTGGCAGCGGTAAGAGTTAGAGGGCAAGCCGGCGTCATTCTTTGCATTTGGATTGTGGCGAAGGGATGCAAAGGACTTGACATCCTTACATCTGCTTCTGCTCTGGTCACTGAGGCATCGGGGCCATGGCAGCTCCAGGCAAATACAGTCTTGGGTCACAAACAAAGATTAGCAAATGCAGCGATGCTGAATTCGCGACCACCTGCTCTCCCATTCTCTGATAAGGACAGAAGAGTATTATTCGCGCGCTCTTTTTGGTTCGTGACCCACTTTCACTGCACTCAGGCAACAGAAAAATGAGAATCTGCAGCATGCTTTGGTAGGTATTCCGTGCAACGTAATCTTTGCACATCGCTAATCCAGCGTTCAAGCAGCTCACCGCCACTTTCAAAGCCAACTGCATTAGGTGTTGTGGCTGAATAACTGGCCCATGCTTGCTCACAGCGGTGCATTGCAGAAACGTCTGAAATTCGCTGTCGACATGTTGAGCATCTTCAAACCTGGATGAAATGTGGCAATACGTCTGTCATCGAAGCGATGTTGCTCAACATGGGCAGGTAGGAGTACGTGCAGCGACCACCATGGAGTCAGGAGTCCTAGTGACCTCGGAAGAAAGACCCATAGTCCCCTTAAGTAGAATATGGCTGGGGGACTATACAGTCTAGCTTCTTGATCCTCCAGAGCTGTGGCCAAGTGGACTCAGGCTTCCGGCCTGGCATTTCGCTGCACGCAGTGAGAACATGTAGCCTTCCAGCCATCCATCTCCAGGCTGCTCCAGGAGACGGTAGCAATTAATTTGTTGCGTTTGCTGTGTTACCAAACATCTCAAAGAGCTGCTCAGGATGGAAGGTTTGTCTAGGCTGCTGAATCACAACGCCTGAATTTCTGATTAGCTGCAAGGCTGTATTGAAAACTCGCCTTCGCAGCGATGCAACTGCTGTATGCTCGAGAGGTAATTAATCTCCCGCTGCATGCACAGCGCGATGCACTCAGGTCGGCATGGCTGGCCAAGTTCAGTTCGCGCCCAACCAGCTCGTGTTGCCCGCGTTGCCCTGGGAGTCGCAGAGAGCAGCACCTTTGGAGCCTGATCTCGCTCACAGAAACATGAACTGGCGCTAGTACTGACGGCGCGAAACAGATCATCCGTTACTTGCCTTGACGCTGGTACTCAAAAGGTACAGTAACTCCGTCACTTCCAGGTCGGAATTCAGCTGTCACTGCCTACTTCGAGGCCAACTACCATTTATGTAGATCATCTTGACACTTTTGGCTATAGATTCCAAGATGTCAAACGCGCCGGGCAACCTTTTGAAAGGCAGCCAGGCGCAGCAGCCAGACAATTTCCGAAGCCACCTGGACTTTGCTGCTCCGCGATCATGTTGAGATCGTAAGAACATACCCCACAAACGCGCATGTCCATCAGTTCCCTCAAAACCTGACATGTTTCTCCAACAAGGATTATCATGACGGCACCGCCCCGAATCATTTGGCCACATAAGCACTTGGCAGCACGCAGCCGTGAGTCACCGAATCGTGTTGTTACTCTGCGAATATCATCATAAACCAAACAAGCTGGTAGTCTGGCCCTGAAAGTGGGCGCGCAAACTCACGCCCTCTGCCGAGGACGCAACACTCCCCTGCCGGGGTGTCTGCAACAGCATCGGCCTCTCACTGAAGGATGCGCGTAGCATATCACAAGCGATAAGGACGTCACTGCTTTGTACTCCTATGTGTACAAGAACAGAGCTGTTCTGCTGGTACATGGCAGGAGTAAAAATCAGGACGACTGTATATCGCATCCAGGTGCTGGGTACCACCCGCATGCAAGCCTTTTGTCGGTAAGTTGTGTTTTTCGAGCTAACAAGAGATCCACCTCAAGCTTGATGCCAATCTCATGTCTTCCCCAAGCAAAAACTGGCTGGCTCTCGTATTGGTCAAATATTTCTAACTCATACACACATGCCTCACACCAAATACCAAATGTGGATGTCACAGCTGCAATTCTAAACTGCATTCTTAACCCAAGCAAGTCAAAAAAGTCCCTGGTAACGGAAATTACTCCAGGTTTTGGAGTCTGGGGGCAATGCAAGCTGAATTAGCAAGTTGCCTAGTCAAGACGACGTGCCTTGGCAAATACTGTCACGTACCCCACACGATTCTGAATGCCATTTAAATGCCTTTGACATCTTCCAGTGTGCTGCCTTGCTCTCTGGCCAGGCATCCGCGGCCTCCGAACCACGGCAAGAATCAAAGCATATCAAAGGGAGGGTTAGGGTGTAGGTTTTTGGATTTAGGGGAAATGTGAGATCCTGCCTGTGGAGTGAAGCTGGGCAGCACCAACGGTGTCTGCACAACCTAGGGTGTGCCAAACAATGCAGGGTGCTTCTGGCATAGCATTTCAGACGGGCCAGCAAGATTCAAATGCTCATCTGACTAAGCCGAACTCCTTCTTGGGCAATGGTTCTTCACACCTCAGCTTCAGACAGCGTCTCAAACATCCAGAACTGTTCAATGGCAATTGCGCTTTGCAAACCACAGGTGACAAGAAACCACGACAGCCTTACCTCGAACTTTCCTTGGGTAGGCATTCAATCTTATTGTTGTACGGTGATTGCCCATAGTAGGGGTTGGACATACATGGGGGAGCCCCCAAGATTTTTGTCCGGATAAATTCCTGAGGGCATAAGGGTCAATCAAGAGTACACATCAAAGGAGTTAGTTAGGGCCTCAGGAATCACCCATTTTGAATGTTGATGGGGCCTTGGTGGACCGGAGGCCTGAAATAACAACCTTCGGGCCTAAGTCGCAAACCTAAAATTTTGACATGCCTCCTCAAGCGCTGTCTTCGCTAGCCCTCGCCTCCCACTATCACAGTGGGGGGCTCAGACTTTGTCGTCTTTGTCGTCGAGACCCTCGCCTCCCACTATCACAGCGGGCAGCTCAGGGTTTATCGTCTTTTTCGTCGCCAGCCCTGGCCTCCCAGCATCACAGCGGGAGGCTCAGACTTTGTCGTCTTGATCTTGGAAACTGCCTCCTACTTTCACAGTGGGAAGCTGCCCCGTGCACCGAAATAAATCCTGTCGGCCTCACCCCCAAACTGATCATCTACTGACATGCAATTTCCGCAACAAAAAATTGAGGCTTGAGCCCCTAATTAGATTTCATGCATCCGAACCCAATATTACTTCAGACCTTGGAATGACATGAGCTATAGTCTTAACTCCTAGTATCCCCCTGAATAACCCCGAAAATACTCGACTATGTAAGTTTAGACTATAACTTACATGAACCTCCGCGAAAAGGTTGTTTAGCGAATTGGCTTCTCTGAAATGGCATACAAGCTCTTCCGCAATAGCGTTGGCCCTTCTGGAACCTCTCGTTCCTCCCGACAATCATTCTGAGCCCAACCCAAGCCGTGAAGCCTTTCCACTGCTTGCATGCAAGCCACAAGTTGTAGCGCAGAAGAACAAAGAGTGGCAAAGCTGTCAACAAGGCCTGACGCTGGCTCATGTCCGTGTGATTCCAAAGTACGCCACATCAAAGCTCTGACCTGAGGCTGCATGGCGCGAAGCCAGCAATGACCAAGTCTGGTCGAGGCTGTATGCTTTGTCACATCTGCCCTCTCCACAGGCCCTTTTGAGCCAAGAGATCGCCCAAATTGATGCCCATGATGACGCAGAGATGCTTATTCTAGTATCGTCCAAAACTTGTGGTGTCGGACACCAAATTTTGCCGGATCTCCAGCTCGCCGCAAGAAACAGAACATAGATCCCTGGTAGCATCTTTTGCATGCACTTGGGCATCCACATCAAGTCAGAATCTACAAATGGCAACTCACACAGAGCCATGCACTCCACGACGACCTGGCCACTTTACCATTGATCCATATTGATCCACACTTGCTGAAGCGACTGAGTGGCGCTGGAAGAGTCGTCTGTTGGGCCTCACGCAATGCTGTCTGCTGAAGCCAGCATCTTGTGCAATGACGCAAGCAGTGGCTTGCCTTCTTTTGCACATCCCGCATAGCGCAGCAGGAGGATGTAGACGCAGACCGTAGCTATAAACCATCATCTACGCTACTCCCACCCCACGATCGAAGACCACCCTGCTTCCATAGGACGCTGTGAATCCTCAGAGGGGCAATGCCGCATCCGTGCGTAAACCCATACCAACACATTGTACCTATGTTTTTTAAACAAGCTGGCGCAGCAGTTGCTTTTTGAATTGTTGCATGTATTCGCGGAATCCTGGATTAGGGTACTCCGCACAGAAGCCTGGCTCGAAAAAGGCCCCGGAATCTGTTCAAATGGATTGCCCTAACTTGTTTTGCCCAAGATATACCTGCTCATCACGAGGGAGGGAAGAGGCTTGTGGGATGCTGTAGGCACCTTACAAAACGGTCCCACTTAGTCAACTAACTGGACGCACATATACAAAGAGCGCCGTTGGTGCTTTCTTGACCGATGCACTGCTAATCTTGAGCCGGAAAGACTACTAGCCTGCATGCTGCCCTGACATGCTGCTATGATGACGTCTTGTCGTAGTGCTGTTCTTCAATGTTCTTCATCAGTGCAGATCAACTTTTGATTCCACTTGGTCCTGCTTGGCATACGCGTGGCGTTGTGCCAACATACTTTAGCAGTCTGCAGCAGCTCTTCCCGCTTGAAACTTGCACCAACTTGTGAAAGACTGCGATTTGTGCGCTGCAGACTTTGACATGCGTCAAGAGCTACAGCTTCTGCAAGGTCAACGAGAACACGCGTGCGCCAACACCACCAGGGGGCCTGCGCGTGAGAGCGAGGCGAGATTGAAGTGGTAAGGATAGCACATCCAGCAGCCTCAACCAGCCTCATGGGGCGAAGTACGGATTGTCGCTGAGTGCCTCAAGATCTTGCAATGCTGTAGCTCAAAAGCACAACATCATTCTCCGCACTTCTTGGGCCCTTGCTTTGAGCATTGCCTTTGCGGCATCCGCGCCAGCATTGCGGTTTTTCCGTACCTCTGCCTGGCAGCATGATGCACCACTTGCATGAGTATCCCACTCATTACGGATCTACATGCCAAGCAGTTAAACGTGGGGCAATCTGATCTTGGCAAGTTCTTCTTTGCAGAAAGAGGAACATGCCGGGCAAACTCGTTCCTTCTCAATATTTCGTAGCGAGCTGAAGTTGTTGATCCTTCGGGCACAGTACATGTGTGGATGTCCTCAATTGCATCAGCCCTGGCCGAATGGCGTTCGGAGAAAGTGCTTCCTCCTCCTACTGTTCAATTGTTCTCTGCGTCGCCCCTCCCCCCCCCCTTCAACTTCTTGAATCACCCCTTCCTCCTTCCTGCTTCCTCCTTCCTGGCTCCCAGCTACCCAGCGTCAAACGCTCTGTTCTGAGGCTGGGCTGAGGCGGTCAATACTTGCTTGGGGGTTTCTCAACTTGATCCCCATCTAATCCCTAAAAGCTCCCATGATCATGTCATATTCCCATGGGTCCCTAGAAAACAAACTTTTTTGAGAAACCCGCTTTTCTGAGCCACAGCTGTCACGGCTGATCTCTGTCGAGCCTCTTCTTTTTCTTTGGAGCATCCGAGTCGCTGTCGCTATCCCTTGGGCCGGGTCAGTCAGGAGCGAAACACGCTTATCAGCCACTAGAGCTACGGCAAAACAACAGTATCAACCGCCGTCCGTAGCTTAGCCTCCAAGCGCAGTAAGAAGTCAACAAGGCAAACGACCCAAGCGTAAGGTTGCGGCGATGATGAAGAACTCTTCGCTTTCTTTTTCTTGTCCTTCTTGTCTTTCTTTGGTTTCTCCTGCAGGCTCTCGTGGAGCCATATTCGTGTGCAAACAACAACAACAACAACAACAGTCATGGGATGACCCAGGACGCAAAGTGACCGCACCTGTGTTGGTGCCGCTGCTGCTGGCGGGGCTGCTGGTGCCGCCGGTGGCGCTGCTGGCGGTGGCGCAGGCGGCGCTGCAGCAGGTGGAGCCTGAGGGGTGGCAGAACGGAAAGACTGCGCCCCGTGAGCCCCCGGGTTCAGCAGCCTTGCCCTTCTCAGTGTCAGAATCAGATTCAATGACCATTGTGGCTACCTGCGCTGGCAGAGAGTGTTGGGCGACATGTCGGTGATCAGTTACGCAGAGCTTAGAGTTTGCTTGCATGGTCAGCCCATGTCAGCACACAGGCGCTGTCTGCCTGAGCAAGCCGTTTACGGCTAAGCCTTCACTTATGATCCAATCGTTAGAATACCTCCTATTCAAGTCCTGCAGCACCAATTGCTTAAAGGATCTGGAAGGTCTATACAGCGACCTGCCTTTGGCGCTGGTAGTGCCGGAGTCGGGCCCTTACCATCGGTCTCGGCCTGTCAAGCTCTCCTATACGCCTGACATCCTTCTTCTAGCCCAAACTCACACCTTTTCTCTTCTGCATATGCCCTTCTCTCTCATGACTCAGGTCTTGTGCGATGAAACCCACCATGCCTGCTGCATGTTTGTGTGAGCCACGTTCTGCCTAGCCCTTAGTTTATCCGCGCAAAAGTCACGCTAGCCTTTGGCTGAGCGCACTTTGCTATGGCTCTCAACGTCCACCCTGGACTTGGCTGACAGTCTATTGTCAGAAACAGTTATTCCACATTCACATTATTCACTTGACTTGCAAAGCTTGCGAAGCCGGCAAGGTCTGCAAACGGTGCAAGGAAGACCACTAAGACATCCAGTGAATGGGAGAGACTTTGCAAGCCAAGCGATTGGCCCACCTGGGTTTGGAAAACTGCCCGAGCAGGCTGTACATGTAAGGGTCTCGAGCAAGGAGCCAAGGCTTGGGCAGATGACTGTACCGGCCCATCTAAGCCTTGCTGCTCCGTTAATGGAAAGGAAACCGCGTCGATGAACTGACAAATACTTGTCAGTTGTAGCCAGCATGACTGTGCAGGGAAGGCCACGCATGGGCTCCCAAAGGCTGGCAAGTTCTTGTCAGAGAGACACTCGCGATGAGCTGGGCGCGCTCTCGTCGCAGAAGCAAGCCTGCCACCAAGATGAGACACTTCACAGAATCCCAACGTAACCTTGTCTAACCTACCATGCCTAGCAAATGCGGACTTGCTTGTTATTGTTTTTCTCTTGGCCTTGGCGAGCTCAAGCTTTTCTTCCCAATCCAATTGGCTCCTCGCTTGCATCTAAGATGAGTCTTCAGGAGTCTTTTTGTTCCAGAAGTCCCCTCTAATGGTGTCCTTTCCATCGGGCTTTCCGCTGCTTTTCTCGGAGCTCGACGAGCTCTGCAGCGGCGCATTGCAAGGACACCCAGAAGGAGCAAGCAAACGCTGCCCAGGAAGAGCCTCAGAACACGCCTTCAGCAATGCTGTTCTTGCTTCATCTCTTAGCCAACCATCTTAGGTCGCGACAGGCTAATGACGGTCACCATCAGAGGTGTATCCTTAGCACGGCCATGAATTCAGACAGCTGCTGCTTCTTTGCATAAGCAGCACCCATCAGGCTACCAGGCGGCTGGGCTTGAGGTCGGAATCCTCAGCAAAATAATGCTTGAGAGTCTGCTGCGGGTGTGACTGTCTTGGTGAAGCTTAGTTGCGAGGTTGGAGGCTCATCCCACGGCTGAAAATCTGACGGAGGCGGAGGTGGCGGTGGTGGAGCTGGAAGCGGAGGGCTCCCTTGACCCGACATGCCAGGGCCAAGAGTTGTGCTGGGAACACGAGCTCCTGCTTTCGTCAAGAAAGTTGATGCAGGTTGATGCAGGAACACGACTGGCTGGAAATCGGTCCTTCCGGCTCCGGCCAATTTTCCTGCACAGTTGCTAGACTTGCCCTGTTGGGCTCACACTAAGGATGCCCAAACGACAGCTGGAGTTGGCCTCTGTCGACTCTGGCTCTCGCAGGGCAATGCCCAGCACAATACCAGTGATCACCAAGCCCACCTCAGAGCTCCAGGACCTATTCTTTCAGGGTGCTTTTACCTATCATCCACGGCTAGGATCAACGTTGAAACCTTCTGCTAACAAAATCTGCCGTCCGACATAGTCCAACGGATACGTAATTGACAAAGGCCAACCTGTCTGCACTCTTAGTGGCGGAAATACTTCCCATGGCCGTCAGCAACACCAGGCGATTGCCGGCAGCTGGCTTCTCGCTCCTGTGCGCTCGGCAATGGGCCGATTCATCCACTCTTGTTGAATTCCTTTGTTTAAGGACTACACCTTGTCTGCCGCTCCACCCTCGCCAGAAAAATGATGTATGCTTTGCATGATGAAATAGTCACTGCCGTACATACAGAGCGCCACCCGTGCTGAGTTCTTGCTTTCCATACGGCAGTAGGCAGGAGAGTCGTTGTGTCGAGCGGCTTGGACCGCCCAAAGACGGACCAATTGTTGAGCTCTTCCTCTGCACGTTGCAACTCTTCCGCCAGCATGTCCTGCCAGTTCGGATCCTGACTCAGTCAGGTCTTCTTGCCATGCCCGAATCATGTCCACGAGATCAACCCGCAAGCGGGCTCTGCCTTCTTGGCCAGCACTGCCCGCAGGGACTGCAGGCGAAAGGAAAAGATTTTCCAGTCCAGAGCCCGAAAGCCTGAGCTAAGGAGCGTGCATGCTTTCATGGAATGAGGAAGGCGCCGCGCTGCCTCCCAGGTCTTGGATGCGCGACCGGATCATCTCCGCATCTGCAGGGTTGCTGCAGACAGCGCTGTCAGTGCGCGCTTTCAGCAAGTCCACCAGGGATGTGTGACGCTGTTTGAGATAGCGCTCAGAAAACGCGATGCCAACCTTGCAGCCGGGGCTGAACACAGACGGATAAAAATCTAAAGCCGCGAACTGGAGCACTGGCGGAGCAGTCAAGCCACTTTGGATTTGAGGCTTGTAGCTTCTGCAATCTCATATACGCACCATAGACGCTCCTCGCGTGCTTTTTCATCGTTTTCCCATCATAGCAATGGTGGTTGTTGTTAAGGGCAAGTGCGTTCTGGTGGCATTGGTTTGCTCGCAGAAGCTAGACGATGACTATCTGTGTCTCTGTTAATGATCTTCAAAGTAAACAGACGATCAGAAGAAACAAACACTCGTGAACTCTGATCCAGGCTCGTACACTCGAGCTAAGGAAGTGTGGACCACAACCATGCCCAGAGCGGGGGTTGTGTGACGAATCACAGAGCCAAATGGATCCAGCATCAGCTGCTCACTGATGCTTGGGCCAATGTCCCCAGGCTCGTCGCCTGCCTGGTACTGAGCAAATCCACAGAACCAGATTGACGTAGAAAGTCCAGGTGTTGCTTCAACGCAATAGTCGACAATAGCCTCCTCACACTCATCCATGTCCTCCTCAGCACAATTCTGCACGTTGTCAGCAACACTACTGACAGTACTGGTGTTGTGCCACAGTGACTATAGTGAACACTCAGAGCTTGCAATAAGAGCGTGTTAAGTCAATCTGTAGACTGTAGCCGAGTCTCTGCCCAGGTGTGGGAAATCATCAGGGTAGCCCGGCCTCGGCTGCAGGGGCTAGAAGGCGCTGTGCAATGGCCACAACTTCAAGACACTCGCCAAAGAGGAACCAGTGGCCAAGTTGCTCAGAACCCGAAATGGAGATACCAAATACTGTTAGGGGTCTCACAACTACAAAAACTCACTGAAGCCAAGAAGTCGCAGGGCTTGCTGTGGTTCATACGCAGAGCGATGCCACACCCCGTACCCCGTGTCCACGGCTTTACCAGCTTTTGTATGACATCCTGTGCGCGCAGGCACAGAGCAGGAACGGCCGTACGCCGTCTCCTCTTACATGGGTAATTGGTAGCTTTTGGATGGGCCTACAGAAAGCATTGTCAAGCACATGAGGTTCGGGCCATGATCAGCTGCACTGAAGTTTCCGTTGCAGGGCCCTATTTCATGTTTAAAACTGTTGCAGTACCTCCCTTCAAGCAACTTCTTCAGCTTCGCAGCCCCCACGACACAAAGACGAACTGGCAAGAAAGAGCTTTTGGGATTTACATGCTGCTGCTTCCTCTAGAATTTAAAATCTCCAACAGACTCTAACCCATGCAAGCCAGTTGAGCGTTGAGGGTTTCGGGCTCATTGGAGGACAGCTTCCTGCGAGAAACCTTTGGTATACCCAAAACTTTTGGTGTACCCGAATCTTTTGATCTGATTGTAAATCTGAAGCTTATTGATGAGGGAGCCTCTAAATCCAAAAACATACCAAAAAAGCGTGACTCCAACAAAAGAGCACAACGAGGGCTCCAAAATTAAAATCTGATTCGTTTGCAAAAACTGAGGGTCATACAACGTCACAGCTTCGCGTTCAGTCTTGATCTGCGACCAGCGTGACGTCTCTCTGCATTCAGACAAAAACCTATGCAGCACGATGCAGCAGGCCATGGCCAATAGCAGAGTATGCCGGCTCTGGTCAAGACAAGATGCTCGCGGAACTGCGCGACTGTCATGCCCCAGTCCTACGATTCCCACCACGCTTGTGGCCACATTAAGGACCGGTCAAAGACACTTCAGGGATCTTAAGGGACAGGCAGGTAAATCGGAAAGCCAAGTCCCATTCCTGTGGCGGCACCTCCCGATTCGTGCGTGCAGCCACCCCCAAGCAGAGAGGAGCGGGCGGCAGCTCTGACGTGCACATGCAGGTAGCATCATCAGGACTGTCTCTACATGCGGGCATTGACAGCCCGGCTCAGGCCAAAGCAAAAGAATCAATGATTCTCAAGCGCCAGCTGTTGCTCATACTCTTTGCTTGCTCATAAACTTTTTAAACTTCCGCCCCCCAACTCTGGAGAGCGATATACGCATACATTGCTGCTAGCCTGCCTTGCAGTTGTGATTGTGACCATGTTGATACATATTCTGATGCTCATGGTGCCCTCAATGTGGTCATGGAAAGCCTTGAGCCAGTGGTGGCAGAGCACGCTTGCAGGACTTTTCCCGATCCCACAACTTCGCAATTACATCACACAGCTCAAGCCGTGTAGATCCTGCGGACAGACGTATCGCTCTCAAAGTCCGAATGCTGGCTCAAGTCCGCGCTGTGCTTTACAGAAGGGCTGATATCAGTCGAGCCCAAGCCTTGTTCTCACTGCCTTCTTTGTTCTCCTTGTTTTCGTTGTCGTCACCCTTGGCTGGCTCTGGCGGAGCTGCCGCATCGCCTGAAAGCTTTGGCACCCAAGCATCCAGGTCTCGTTTGCAGACATGCTTTTGTGTGTATCTGTTCTGGCCTTGCGCATACACAAGGGGCTTAGTGGCACTGACATGCATGTTGGTTGCGGTGTCATGCTATGAAAACATTCGTCAGGCCTTCCCCAACCTTGGCTTTGCCGACCTCAGAGGACAGCAGTTCTGCAGAACATGTGCCAAACATGCAAAGACGTTCTGTGCAAGCAAGGATGTTTGAATCGTTAATACGTCATGGCCCCTGCCATCTGCATGAGCAGATCATCAGCAGACGTGTTATCGACACCTCGGTGCCATGCAAACCGCTCTCAGTAATGTTTTTGCTGGCTGTACAACGTTGCTCTGCGCCAGCATTGTCCAGCAGCTCAACGCACGAATCAAAGCACCCGCCCAGACCCAGCAACTACTGGAACGTCACCTCCCAACTGCCACGTCTGCAGGTCAGCAACGCATAGACACCCCTCAACCCCTGAAGCATACGCCTGCGCTGCAACCAATCTGAGTCCTGGACCTGCTGGATCCGCCATGATGCTGGAGTCCGCGCGTCAAGGATTCAACAAGTGGTCCTGTAAAATACAAACCTCGTTCCGAGATGAGACCTTCTGACTTGGGATGTTGTTGTCGTCGTTGTTTTCATGCTTTGAGAGGCAAAAGCCTTTCGGAGCACTACTATCTATGCTCAACATGCGAGCAGTCTTTTTGCGGTAGCTGCGGCTGTTCTGTGCAGTCCAAGAGTTCGCAATGAACCAATGTTGTGGGCTGTCTTGGTCTGCTGGCTGCTCCTCTGGGCCAAACAATAGCCGTGGCTGCGATCGGATCCATTGACTTGTCTCTTTTGGTACCCGCAAGCGTACGTCACATTACGTCACTAAGGCCCCGGTCGTATACATCAAAGACAGAGAACGCAGAGCCTGTTGTCCACGGCAGGCGCTTGTCAGCGAGTTTGTTCTAGCCGCGGGATTCTCTCTTCGATTGCCAGTAATTGAGCCATCAGATGCAACCCTTCATGACGCTTCGACTTGAAATACAGAGAGTCCACGCTTTGACCCGGAAGACTTTGCAAATCACTGTGTCCAGCTTCCACTCTTACTCCATGTGGCAAGCACATGCAAGCACAATGAGTTCTCTTGCTTATGTGACAGCTTGACACCCTGCTCTCATCGAATCTCTGAATTCATTCTCTACTGACTTGTCAAGGCACAGGCCTCATCTCACTTCACCAAGCGTCGCTCGAACAAATGGTCCGAACGCGGAGCCTGGATAGTCACCTTGTCCTTCATTGACAGGCCGGACGTGCGCCAGGCTGTCCAATGCTGACAAGCAATTGAAAAGCCACCCTGCGGACTCCTTGTACTCCCCGTGGCACAAAGGCGGTGGTCCGGAGGCCTCGAAGGGACACCCACCACATAGCTGCCAGCTTGGCGTCTGCAGCTATGACGCCTTGAAGTCCACCATGCCATAGTCACCGCCAGCATCATCAGACCACTTGCCGGCATGCTTGCCCAGTCGCAAGGTTGCACCTTGCATGCAACCATCAGTACCCATGTGGCTGCTGAACGCCACAACAGCCTCTGTAGCAGCAGTCGAAGATCGCCCAACCTTTGAGTGTCAAGGGGGCTGCCAGCAGACAGGCCCTGAAAGCAAGCAAAGCTTTTCACGAAGTGGTCAAGCTGACTTAGACAACCACCCATATCCACGATGTCGTTCGCCTGGGCTTCCAGAGGATCCTGGCAACGTTCCAGACATTGCGAAGAGTACATGCAACATTTCCAATCAGCCTTGAAGACAAGGCGGCTGCAAGAATTCTGCACAACCACGCGACGGTATGAAGAAGTGCGGAGCACCTTCACCTTCATGCTCCCCATGGCAAGACATCAAGTGTGGTGGCTGCACAGCTTGGATTTGTGCTCTGCACGCCCCCGCCTTGCCAAGAGTACTGCTCCCTCCACCGAGCGCATAACTTCCTGGCCCGTCGTCCTCATAAGGCTTTGCGGCCGATGTTCGCAGAAAATGAGGCGATAGATGCCAGTCCATCTCGAAAAGGCTTAGAGCAAAGCAAAAGCTGCGCCCTCTGACTCCAAATCCACATCGGCTTGGCTCAAGAATCCCAAAGGGATGCCGCCTGGGCCGATGCAGTGAAACCTCTGAGTCCACAGACTACAAGCAAAGCACAGGAGTCCGCGATATTTGCTCGTGAAGACATGGCTGCTTCTGCTTCTTCTTGTCCTACTCCTGCTCCTACTCCTATCCTCCTACTGCTCCGCCTGCTACAAGTACTACTAACGACAGCGGCAGCAGCGGCAGCAGCGGCAGCAGCAGCAGCAGCAGCAGTATCCGCAGCGCTCGAGTAAACCAGTACTCTCAGCTCTACTAGTCACCAGCAAGTAGCACAAACACTAGTTGCAGGATTGTAAGGGTGGAAGGGTATCACCTGAGCGTTGCTGGAAGGCAAACAAGGAGCATTGATCTCACTAAGGCGATGTTGACATCATGCAGGCCTGAGCTCGCAACCTGCAAAGACCTGCATGTAGTGCAGATCAAGCCAGGCTGGAATGATGCCTGCGCCAAGTTATCCTCCCCTCTGGACTTGCGGCGTTTCCCATGTCCATGCAGACATTGCAACTCAGCGCGGATGCCGTCACGTCACTGATATCTCAGCGCAGAAACCAGGCAGGCTCAGCATTGGATCCTTTAGAAATGCAGAAGCACATGCTTCATGCCCATGCCTTCATCCAGCAGCTTGATCCGGACCTCAGCTGCTCATCTGCTGCATCAGGTTTGCCCCCTTCCCAAAGAATTGGCCTCTCTTTCACAAGTACTCCACTCTCAAGTTCGTTGGCGTGCTTCTGCATGCTCAGAACCGAGGTCCCCACAGCCTTGCCTATCGCCACCGGTGACGTTTTACTAGCTTCTATGGTCTCCTCCACAGTGAACCAAACATAGCCTTTCTCCTGCGGCACCTGCTTTGACGTGGAGGCAAGGATTGCTGATTCTCTGAACAGAAACCTCTGGTTGCCTCGCCATCATCGTGTTTCTTGCCGTCCAAGTTGGGCCCGAGCCAATCCAGGTCGGTCAACATGGCCTGATTCAGACATCAAGCAATACCCTTGCACAAGGAAGCCTCCTGCCGCAAAGCCCCACAACCACAAGACACAGGGCTACGGCATAGAATTTGAAGCCACGGCGTTGATTTCCCTGGGGTACCATGGACCCATCAGGCCTCAGGTGACCAAGAGGCGGTCATGAGGAAAAGCCGCATCTCATCTTCCTCGCATCTGTCCGCCTGAGCCCTAAGCCCCGTGGCAGCCAGGCTAGTAGGACCTGGCAAGTGTATGCAAGGGGCAGATTCCGCAGTACAAGCGGTATGTAGGATTTGAGCCTGTGCCCGGCCTTCCAATAAATTCCAGAGCTTGTCTTGCTCGAAATAATGAAGACCTCGCACATGTGCCCAGCATCTTGCACAGTCTCAAAAGACAAATTAGAAAACTGAGGTACCCCAACCTCGCAAATGCTTTGTACTGTTTCGCGTGTCTAGGACCGTGGCCAATGTTGAGCTCATGGTGCCCATTCTGTGCACAAGCGGTGGCATGGCAGGAAGGAATCACAGGCAGCGAGACGCCCCTCCTTGCCGTAGCCCTCGAAGGTTCCGATCTTTCGCAGCCTGAAAGGCCAGCCTGCAATGCCTGAGTTGATCTGCTGCTTCAGGCTATCATGATACCTGCTAAGATGGCCGCAAGAACGCCTGAGATGCTGGCGCATTACGCATGGGTAGTAGCCTGAGAACTGAAGCGCATAGAGCCAAAAGAGAACCTCTTCCAAGGGGTGGCCCAAAGACTACTAAAGTCTCCCTCAAAGCACCAGGGCAATCCTTTCGCTTTCTTGGCCCTGTTCTCTCACCGACTGTAGAATTCTTCAATCAAGACACCCCAAGAGGGATTTCCAGCGAAGTCTGCAATTCGAATCTCCGCCTCGTTGTTCAGCTTGCGCAAAGCTGCTGCTGTCCATAGCATATCCAAGACATCAAGGGTCCTCAACGTCACCCACGGGCATCACTTTGTCGGAGAATTCCTGCAAGCATTATGCTAGAATGCACAAATGCTGCGTGAGAGGGCCACGAACATCCGCGTTGGGATCAACACCTTTTCGTGGTGCACATCTTGCCTGAGGAAGCTACTCACCCAGGCCCATTGCCTACACACATCGGTTTGGGCGCAGAGCGAGCTCTCAACAATCCGGACTATCTGGAGTTCCCAGTCGCTTCAATGCGGTCCTCCGCATTGATGCCCATGTGGACAACATTGTTGTCCCAGAAACGACGTGCCTGTTGAGATGCGTGTCAGGAAAACAAACCTGGAATGTTGAGACTCAGCAAGTCCTGTTCTCAGGACCCATGGGAAACAATTGCTCCAGTCTACAGCCATGCGGGCCTGGATTTCCGGTACAGTGTGATTGTCACGCTTGGGAATGTAGTCTTGCAGCGGAAAATTCCATGTGCAGTCCTTGGCAGCCGGAAGCAAACTTAGCATCCACCGCATGCATTCCGCACACACCTTCTTGAAGGGATACAGTCTGCGACGTTGCTTTCAACTGATGTGATTGAGGCAAGCTCCCGAACACCCTCGTACTGCATGCACTCGACCTCAGTCCGCATAGTTCTTGTTCATAACCCGGTTCCTTCTGAGAGCTTACGCAATCAGCAGAACTTTTTCAAGTCTCATCGGGCCCCGTGTCAGTCACGGGTGAAAGGAGAACTGTTGAGCCCTGGACCGTCAGCCGGCAGTTCTTCTCTGGAACCGGCCGCGACGTGCACAAGTCCTGAGCAGATTAGGAGAACTAGCCTAAAGCCATCCTGATATGCTGGCGCTTCTCGCAATCTCAAGCTCCGGGCGTGTCGGGCTGCTGTGAATGTGACATACTGCTCGCTAAGCCTGAAGGGCGAAGGTTCTTGCATCTTTCTTGGTATTCTGGTCTTTATGAAGTTTATGAAGCAATCTGTTACACAGGTTGTGCACAGAGCACGGCACCTGCCATCAACCCTCTGTTGACTGGCAAACGCAACAAGCCAATCGGGGAACGCTGCTGATGCTGATTGCTCTTGCACCCGAGGACGTGTTCCACAGGCCTGCTGTCTGTGTTCAGCGCCGACAGGCTGGCAAAGAAGTCAGATCTCTTTCCCTGGCATTCGGATGCGATGACGACAGTACTGGATCATCTTGCAGGTTCCGCAGGCCTCCTGAAATGACTTGTCGCTGAACATCGCCAAGGGTGGGAAGTTGGTCCTTCACTGGGCAGTTTCCGAATTGAAAAGCATCCCGGCAGCACGGAGACATCTATGAGGTGCAGGAGAGCTTCCAGAGCAGCGAGTTCCACCATAGTGGGCCAGCTAAAGGACGGGCGAGCTCCAGCTCGGGACATCCCTCTTCGATCCTCGGATGCCCTAGATCAACAAACGCGATGCGGCTACACATCCAATGTCTGCTGAGAGCCAAGAGTCGGCTGAGGGATCTCCTCCGAAAGTACTCGCGGTCCTGCTAATCGAGCTCTAGCATCCTTGATGAGATCTGCAAGCACCGCGACTTAGCAATGACATTACTAAGCAACCGCATCAACAATTCGCATGCCCCCACATTGTGGCCGCACAACAAGTCCAGAAGCACATGCTAGGTTGTCCTGCGAGAGCCATTGCGTCCAGGTGAGACTCCAGGCGTCAGCTGTCTGAGTTGCTGTGCTCGCTTGAAGTGCTGAAGCAGCTTTGTCTGCCCCAGCTGAGTTAGAAAACTAAGTGGCTAGCATCCGCAGCACTACTTGCAACTGGTATTTGTTGTTCGATCTTCTTTCATCCATTCATGACCGCATGCTGAGGTGGGTTTGAAACAGCAGCGCCAAGCTCCTTGTCGGCAACAAACTTTGCCCACGGAGAACGCCAACCATTGGGCTTCTTCCAACATCTCAGACTTGCATATCATATTCCTTGAGGTAATTCGCCGCTCCTGGTGCAAAAAGGCATCAAGGTAATGTGACCAAAATTATTCTACAGATGGCTTGTGGTCAATTTACTAGAGTTAACTCAGCTTGTACTGATTGTCAAAAGCTTGTTCTTGCATGGGTTTGCAGCAAAGCGTTCCTGTGGTCTGAACACTTTGGCCAGTCGGGCAGAATTTGCCCTGGACCTGCAACCAAGCTCTCTTCCATTGCTTTCCCTTGTAAGGTTTTTGTTGCTCAAGAAGGAAGACATCAAATCAACATCTTCCAGCGCTGGATTCCAACTCTCAAGGTCCGCACATAGCCTCAAGAGCCCAACCTGCTCACGCGATCTCACGTGCAGCTTGCCAAAGATGGACTTTGGCCGGGGTGACGTCAGTTTCCACGGTTTCCTGCCCTCCCAGCAACATACAAGCTTTTTTTGTCTTTCTGATTGCAGCGCTCCTAGAGTTGCGAGTGTCTTCGGAAACAAATGGAGTCCCCTACAAATATGGGGTACCTTTTGGCGGTCTCCATGATAAGGATCAAAGTATTTTGGAGTCCATACTGTGGCCCCCCTACATCTGGAAACTATCAAATTCTGCCCGCCCTTCTGCGGCGCCCCAAGCCAACGTTGCTAAGCGAGGATCTGTATTTCAAATCCTGTCCCTACAAAGGTCTTGCAAATTTGAACCATGGCAAGTTCCACGTGCTTCGGAATTCTCAACAGGATTGGGTCTGCAACCAGCACTCACTTCTTCTCAACAGATTCACCATCCGGATGCCTCACCATCCTTGCGCCCGTCAGTGTTCAAGCAGGGCACCAATATTGGTAGAAAGAACAACTACTGCTTGTCTTCACAAATGACTTCTCCGGGGTGCGGAGTCCTTGCCATCCATGATTCTAGACAATAAGCAGTTAAAGTTCATGACTCGGACCACCACCACTTTCCCGGTCCGCATTGGAGAGTATCACCTGAAGACCAGCGTAGAGTCTCTGACGTTGCTGCATCTCGACACTACATCTCGGGCGATGAGTGTAATCGCTCTAGCACATACGGTGACCAAGATTGCGGGTAGTTAGTTTGATAGCAGCCCCGGTGTGTATTCTGATTGTGCATTTGCAGTCGCCACCCCGCAGTGGAAAAACCTGACTGTACAATCATTCACCCCGTGATTGGGTTTTCGAGCTCACTCGTAGCAGTCACTTTCGTGGAGACCATGATCTTGAACTGCCCCTTTGAGAGAAAACATGTGCAAAACTGATCAAGAACACTCACTAGAAGTGTTCAGGGCAACTTCCTATGTGTTGTGAATGAACCCGAAACCCTGAATCCCATTCAGTCACCGCGCACAGAAACCCATTGGGCCTCATCGGACGTGCGCGGAAAATCCAGTGTCCAGTAGAGGATGGGAGCGGAATGCCAACTTTGCACGATGTCGCGACAGCTTCCCAACGGAATCCATGAAGGATCCCACTTTCGATTCTCTCGCCAACAGGTCCTAGCGCAGAATCTGGGTCTCCAGCGCTTTTTGGACCTGTTGAGGCGTTTCTTTGCTGGGAAAAAGTTTGCTCCCCACGCAAGGCCAAGGTGTAAGCGCGCGTGGTCTTCACAAGCTCCAAAGCTCCAAGCTAATGCTTCCGCAACCTGTAAACAGTGATCTTCATCGCGCCCGCGATCATTGATGCAGCTTCGGCTTGAAGTTTGAGAACTTTGGCTCGGCTGCAAGCGGAGGCAGCGGAGGCAAGCCTATCATGACCTGCCCGATTGCAGACATCCTCTAGGTATGTGCTGGCACTGCTGTAGGTTTGACGCCAGTTGTCTTTCAAACGTATGAAACAGGCCTTCGCACCTCTGCTGCGCTCATTCCAACGGAACGGCATGGAGGAGATGAGTGGCGTAAAGTATCTGGCCTTTACAGATAGACTTATCAAGACTTGCTGCCAGATCTGTCAGGGTCTGCCGGCTCAGGAAATACAACACACTTCAAGCTCCAGCCGACCTTCAGAGCAGAAGGTCATGTCGCTCAAGCACTCAGCGCCATCCCTTGGGAGGCAGACAGGCAGATCGTGGAGATGCCAATGGACACATAATGACTCGGGCAGTCACCTCAAATGGACTTTCCTCGCACCTGGTCAGAAACTTGTTCATAGCTGCTCCTAACGGTCCTAACATTGACATACATGGACTGCTATCTGGCTGCCCAACACATGCCTAACAATTAACAACTGTGCCGACCCCCATCCGGAGCCTGTGTCTTGTCGCTCCGTCTTCATCCTGGAAGGCAATTAGCTTCATATGAAGATGCCAAAAAGCGAACGGCAAAGCATGGCAGACTATGCAATGCCAAAGCTCAGATCTTCCTGCTCCAATGAAGGTGACGAGGGCGTAGTGAGGTGGCAAAATTGAAAAGATGCAAAAGTGGCGTTTACATGACGGCAAACGTGATCAGAAATAGGCAGCTGCTTTGCCTACCAGCACTCCTGGCCACTCTTGCGCTGACGACAGCAGCTTCGGTGCAGCAGTTGTCACGAGCAGCAAGATCCTGCACCATGTTTGATCAGCAACGAAAAATTCGCCAAACAGTAAGAAGCTATGCAGACTAGCCTGATAACCCAGACCGACATTTTTGGATCCACAGATCAAGTTGCTGGCAGGTTCGTGTCCTCTAGAAGATTGCAGTGCGAAGCAGCTGGCAGGTCGCAGCGACTTTCAGAGCGATCTGGCAAGATGAAGGGAGGCCAGCCGCTAAAATCTTCACGCGCCTGTCATGCAATGCGTGCAGGCACGAGACTCACACACATCAGCCTGGAATGCTGACACTTTACTAGCAATCCCTGAAGGTCCTCAGGCACCGCTGTGCCATCATATTGCTGAACATGTCTCACAGATGCCAAAGCCTGCAGTGTCGCAACAATAGCATCCCGGCACAATGCGAGAATCTTGCTTTGTCAGTGCTCAGCTGACTGCTTGGCATGGCATTTATCACTGTGCAACGTTTTTGTACAGGGTTGGCCAACCTGAATGGTGGTCTGCCAGAAGACCAAGTCGTCCTTCCAAATACAGCCATACCGTCATACTGTGCTTTCGAGGGCCTCTGAGCTTCTCCCCAGGTAACTTGCACCAACCAAAATTAAAATCTGCTGCTACGGCCAATCACGCAATACTAACTCGAGTGCCAGAAGTAGACTATGCCTACATGCAGGAAGAACTCACTCAAGGTTTGCGACTAACTGAATGCAGATGCATCTGTTCCATCAGAACTTTTTGGCACCTGGGCCGAAAATAAAGCTACCGGTCAGGGCAATCATGCCCTCATCCACCCCCCTTTCACATCGGGGGAGGGCGGGCGGGAGTTCGAAGATCCAAATTTCTCGAAGTCAAACAAGTGTACCTGCACAAATAGTTGGCCGGAATGCAAGACATGACACGCACCATGCAGTACGCGGACAAAGGCATGCATGCTCCTCATACTGTGTGATAGCCCCATGCACCTAGCCACACCAACCTTGGCAAGGGAACCATCACACAATACTAACTCGAGTGCCCGAATTAGACTATGCCTACATGCAGGAGGAACTCACTCCAGGTTTGGCGACTAGCTGATCGCAGATGCATCTGTTCCATCAGAACTTTTCGGCACCAAAGCCTTAGCCGTCGCCAAACCTGACCGCTCCTATCCAACGCATCCAACCAACGCGCGGGCAGGCACTTGGGCCATCGCACACAGCTACTGCCAAACAGGTCGCCGACCTAACTCAAGCAAGCGCAGCCAATCAGGCCGAATCCGAGGGCTGACATCCAGCTGCTTCCAGAAGTTCGAATCAAAGTCCCGGCCTCGGCAAGGAGCATCAGCCCACTCCTTGCGGACTCCAGCAATATGGGGTGAGCCGGAGGTCAATGCGGTGCGTGGCACAAAATGATCCAGCGGATTGCAGAACTGATGCCAAGGGATCGGATAGGGACAATCCTTTCGTGCCAGCACCCACCACGCCCAAGTTGTCACAAGACTGACGCGTAGCCAACCAGCCCATCGAACATGGGCGCTGCACCAGCTGCGCCAGCGCCTCCACAACCGCAATCATTGGCTGCAGCCTGGCATTGCTCCGCCCCCATCGGCTTGAGGAACCAAGCAGGCAAGTCAGATTTCCTGAGCTGGATGGAAGAGTAGTTAATGTTGTAAGGGCGCAGGTCATCACCAAGCTCAATCCACCACCCACCAGGCCGGCTCTGTCGCCTTCTGCAAACGCGTCCTCAGCAGCCGCCCCGGGCAGGCCTGGGCCAGTAGCCCATTGGACCGGCACGTCGGCTTTAATAACGTCCCGGGAGAAGGAGGCAACCCCTGCTTCACAGGTGTTCAGGGCTATTTTTCCCGAAGCACAGGAATCGGGAAACTTGACCCAAATGCGTCCATTTCGCACTTTGGCACACAACAAATCTCGAGCGCATAGCATTGCCTGGTTGGAGGCCTCCAACACCTTCCAACCAAGCGGGACATCCGAATGTCTGCACGCCGCCACAACATCAAGCGAGAAGGCGGTCCAAGCATGATCCCTATGCTGCGTCGCAAACTCAGCCACGTCAGACAAGGACGGCAACTCAACTTTCTCACACACGCGGCACAGCAAGTTGGCATGGGAAATAGAGCTGTCACCAACAAACCGAGGGTCTGCACCTTCCTTCTTCATCAAGCCCAGTTTGCCCACAGCACAGCGAGCTCCAATCGAGCACGAGCCTCTGTCATGCCGCCGGGCAGCCACGCCGCGAAGCCCGCGTCCACATGGGCTTGAACAAGGCGCGTCAGGCTCATCATGCACCAGGAGATCCATAGACGGGCGCTCGGCCGGTCCACAGCACGCCATACACCCGACGCAGGGAGATCTGCTAAGATGCCTGTAAGCGTGCCACGCTGTAAAATTTCGGGAAGCTCAGTGTCACAATCCTGAATACGGCGAAGCAATGCATCCCAGACCTCAAGGGTGAAGGGCTGGCCTTCCGCGATTGTAGCAGAGCAATGCCACCCACTATTTTTCAGAAAGGATACCAAATCTGCACGCAGGTCATGGATCTCATCTTCATTCAATAGGGGAGACCGCTTTGTATCAGCCACATGCGCAAGCAGGCGTGGGATCAAACCCCACGCCTCCACCCTCGCCATCCAGGATTTTCGCAAAGCTTGCAACACATCTGCCTGGCGCCATCCAAGCAGCATCGGACCAGACACCGGCGATCGTTTAGACGAAAGCGCTCCGTGCGAGCTTGGTGGCCCACAACACCTTCGTCAGCACGCTCAGACGCAACCCCTGCAGACACTGCAACCTCAGACACACTGCCAAAAGTTTGCACGCAGGCTGGGCGAAGCCTCGCCCTGCAATCACAATTCAAGGAAGTAGAGCCGCACTGAGCGCAGTGATGCATCCACTTGCAAAACTTCTTCTCACACTTGCCATCAATCCAGTCGAAGCACTCTCCAGTCCTCGGCCTCTTGGATGAGACCCCATCAGAGTTGGGGCCGGCCACCCATTTCTGCGGCAGCTCGGGTCGGCCTCTGACACCATCCCTGTCGCCACGAGACAGCACCTGAGACCTGAGGTCTGTCTGGCTTCGGGGCCTTGGGCACAGGTGTGAGAAGGCGGCGCAGAAGATCGCGCTCAGTGGCGATATTGTGGATGGAATCACCCAGGCTCGAACAGTTGAAACACAGAGTGAAAATCTCTGCAACTGCAGTCCTATCGGCCTCTTCAGCCTCTTGGCCTGACGGGGGATGCATGTTGTCCGAGGGCTTCTTGGTGTAGTGTAGTGACCCATGAAACGCTTCACGTATGTCTGCCAAGACCCTAGATGGCAAGCGCCACACATGGCAAAAGCATTGGCGCGTGTCTTAAGGATATTCTGAACGCGGAACGCTGAGCCCACAAACTCCGCTTCACGCTCTTCTTGGAAGACACCTAGCGAGCTAGCCATTATACGCAGCAAGTCCTCCGGCTGTCCATACTCGCATCCTCACTCATAATGCGTTTCCAAGGGATCCACTCTCAGCGCTTGCCCGTACACTGGGAGTGAATTGCTTGCAAATAACTCAACGCAGGCAATGTGGCACCAGTGAACACATGGGGCGTATACTTGGCTTCCACTTCCTTACGAAACTTCTCCCAATCACTGGTGGTTTGGCGAGATGCCATCGTAGTGCCCCCACTCAGCCCAGGTTGCAGTGGAACCAGGGAAAGGCTAGCAACGCTGGCGGCGGGGCCGGGGCCGGCGCATCACACAGGAGCTTGCACTCTGCTCGCATCCGGTGCAGCTTGCCCGCAGAAATGGTTTGCAAAAGATCTGGCGCCTCTTCTTAGGGCTCGATCTTAGCATCATCCAACAATGCTTTGAAAGTAGCCTCGGCACCCGCTTCTAGGACCCAGTGAACATCCGCTGCTGCAACGCGCCCCTTTTCAGAGCCTTGGGCAGCGCCTCTGGCATACCCACCTTGGCCAAAATACGCTAGAAGGTGTCCTTGCAGTCCGTCCCGCACACAGGAGAACCGCAAGCAAAGGCACTGCAAAGGTGCTATTAAGAACACGTGTTCTCTAACTCACACGACGCACTGGTGCCACACCAGGGTTATCAGTCACCACAAATCCACATGCACGCGCACACAGGGCATCACGCCAACACACTAAATTTACACATGGCAGCCTCACGCTGCAAGTTCATCCAAACCCCCTCACGCAGCAGAGTACAAGGGAGTATGACGAGCATCACGCTCCTTGCAATAGCCCAGACGTCACATCACGTGACCGGGACCAAAAGACACACTATGCCCAGGCTCAGACGCAGCACCCTCAGACTCAGTCTCCGAGCCATCCGCAACTGCGCCATCCGCTGGCACTGGCACTGCCTGCTCCACAGCTTGCTGCACGGCAGTGCCGGGCTGCCAGCCAGCACTGATGGCTTGAAGAAGTCTGCGCTGACAGCGAAGTGCTGGGTGTGCATCGTCATGGCGGTACTTCTCCACGCAGCCCAAAGAGTTCCGCATCCGGGGGTGGCCCTGCGCCGCCTTCTCCTCCGTGGCAATGGGTAATTGGCCAGCCCAGCTTAATGAAATAGTCTTTAAGCTATGCAAAGTGAACTTGGTGACCTCCGACTTGTCCAGGGAAGAATAAGTGGCCAGGCATCGCCGGAATTGCGCCAATGCTGACGAATTCCCTAACGGCCGGCCGCCATCGGATAGAAGGAAGTCACGCAGGGGGTCAACCGCACGGACCTGAAGCGAAGCGTCCGTAAACTTCTGCCTCCAAAAGTTCCTTGTACATCCAGCAAGCAAACAACCAAACGCAAAGCCGGTAGGGCTTTCCTTGCTCCAAACCCAGCCCCGCAGCGATTCGCCATCTACTGTCAAAGACTGTAAAGATAGCCGCTGGGCGTCCGAAAAACGCAAGCCGCTCGAAAGCATTAGCAGGAAGGAAGAAATCAACCAGAAGTCCGTACCAGTGCGCTCGTGGGAAGCGGCCTCCAACTCACGTACCGCATGGAAATACACCGGGAGCGCCTCGACGGGGTAACAAAGCATTAACAATTGGCCCCTGAAGAATGAACAGGAAAGCCTTGAGGTCCAGCTTGTAGGCAACAAATCCAAGCGCATGCACAACGCCCTTCCTGTTGCTGCGCGACCCTTCTGCAAGCGCTTCAAGGAAGCCAAGGACGTGAGGGCAGGCAGGCTCCCCCATCGCGATGTTGGAGCAGCGACAGAACTCAGCCCAACGCCTCCAGCCTGAGAGATGCCGCTTGAGCGTGCTCGGCGCTCGATCCAAGAAGAGGAACAGCAGCTGATCTGCAGAGTACCCTGGCATAGCAGAAAGCACAGAACTCTCCGACTGCAGGCAGTGAACCAGCCCTACAAGCGCCAAAGCCAAACGTTTACGCTCGGCATCCTCACGCATCGGCCCGCTCATATTACAGACAGGAACGCTAGCAATACTAGGGGGGGGGGGCGCGCAGCAATCCGGGCACTTCCAGAACTGCTTGCTGGTACCGATTGCTCTGTAGAGCTAAAGAACTGCTTGCAACCCCCTTTGAATCGACATGGAATCACTGAACGAAGAGGCCGACAGTCATGTAGTTGCGGCCGAACATCGCGCACTTGATACGGGGCGGGACGCACCACAGGAGAGGGCCGTGGCTCATCCGCGCCCTTCCTGCCCAGCAGCTGGAATGGAGACGGCAGCAGCGGCATGACACCCACAACGCAAACAGAAAGAAGAAAGCAGCAAAAGCAAGTTCGAAGATCCAAACTTCTCGAAGTCAAACAAGTGTACCTGCACAAATAGTTGGCCTGAATGCAAGACAAGACACACACCATGCAGTACGCAGACAGAGGCATGCATGCTCCTCATGCTGTGTGATAGCCCCATGCACCTAGCCACACCAACCTTTGCTAGGGAACCCACCAAACCGGCCACACCAAACCGTGATTTTCCTTGACAGGCAGTCACATAACAAAACGAGCCGCCCCAATGTGTGTTCGGGAGTGCAGTTAAGCGCTCCAAGTTATGTGCACACAGCACAGCTCTTTTGTGCCCCTAATTGTTGACAGTAGCTCGGTGCAGTGTCCTGCAGCAGCATCGAATTCCATCTCCGGAAGTCTTGGCTGATTCGTGCCAGAGCTGAGCAATCGAGCCCCACCAGATGTCGAACCAAGTCCTAGACTCAGATGGTAGCTACTCAAAAACTGGAATATCGGAGTGTACTGATTTCATGAGAAGAAACCCGATACCACTGGCTGGGCAAATGTTGCGTTTGGCATACTTGTCAACAAACGAGAGTGCTGACTGCCCTTACTACCGCGTTGGCTGCGGATCCAAATCTACAGGGCAGGACTAGTTCCGCACAATGTCGCACAATCAGAACCCTGAAGTCCACGTTGATCACTTGTTGTGTTGGAATACGCATATCTATCACAGACGCAAACCGCAGCCTTTTCCCTTAGAGAAGCTGCGACAGTCTACAAACCAACAGATAAGAAAGACTGATACAAAAACCAAATCAGCGGCCTTTGATGCAGTTCTTCTTTGTCCGTTGCTGTCATGCCCGATTAGCAGCAAAAACACAAGTGTCATGAGCACAGTAGCGGCGTTTGAAAAAATGGGGCAAGAGGCCACTGCGCTGCTGAAGTGCTTCACGTAGGGGTGTCCTTGCCGATGTGCAGTGCTTACAAGACTGGCAAGCATCCCGCTACCCTGTTGCGTGCCAGGTGCGGAAAAACGAAGACTGGGGCAAGCGATGCTTTACCCGCACCTGAGAGGCAGGTGATAGAGGTGTGCCGGCAAACATGCAACATGACATGATGCTGCCCTTGCCTACTCCTGTCTACTACTGTGAGAGAAAACCCATTGGCTATCATTGGCTTGGCAAAGGGCTGACTTGCACAATATCCGCGTCCAGGTCTCGTGCTGGGCCCATTGGCCGCAGCCCCAGTCTCTGTGCAAAGATGATATGGATGCCTGGCTATCAGCACATCTCATGATTTTTCTTACTGGTGGATACTAGGGAAGAAGCGAATATGATGCCCATTACATACTTATATATACATATATATATATGTACATTTATTTGTTGTTTCATCTGTATTCCTTATTCCCTACTAACCTTACTGCCAGTACGTTATTAGACTTCAAGAAGACCAGCCTGAAGCTCAAGGTCTGGCATAAACAAGGGAATTTCCATAGTAATCAAATCCTTGAAGGTCCTCGGCTTTGAAACTGGCCACAAGTGGTCTTCGCGCGAAAGAATGCTACTTTGACCAAACAGGAGAATGCTGAACCCAAGTGGCAGCTTGCCATACCATACCCGCGGAATGAATACAGCAGCTCGGTGCGCAGCTATCTCTGCATAGGAGAGACGCTCAGCACTGTATGGCAGAAGTCGAAATCTCCAAGGGGAAGCCTCAGACTTGCTGACGTGGTCTACGACCACTCCCACCAAAATGGCAAACATGTGCGCTTCCTCTCCCAAAAGAAACCCTTGTGCTGCGCACTCGGGGAAAAAGCAAACAGTCATGGCTGCATGCAACACCCATCTGCACAGATTGGGGAGTTTGCATACCTTCAAGGTAGCGGCCAGGCTTGCACAAAGATTACTAGGCCCTTCTGCACGGCCAGATGGAGTTTGAGGTTTTTCCGGGCTTTAGGAGGCTAAAGGTTTAGTTGCTTGATGCCGTTTAGGGGACGGGGAAAGTCCCGAGGCGCTGATTGCTGCTGCCCCGATGTGACGTGTGCACTAGACCAATGTGCCCAAATTGAGAACACTCATGGAGCTTTGCAAGACTTTAAGCAAGCAGCAGGTTTCCAGCCGATGGCAGGAACCATCTGCGTCAGCAAGCTGAAGAAGAGGTGGCCGTGCACTGTGGGGGCAAAGCGGCCTCCCCATCCATCTTTCTGTTTTTAATGCAGATTTCACCTGGTTCCGCTTTCGCGTTTATCATACCATTTCCTGCCGTGTCTTGCGCATGCTTACAGAAAAAATTGAAAACATATTGGAATTGGTCAAAGGATTCCAAAAGGAGTCGCAGAATATCCGAGGGATTGACACACTGATCAACTTGCGGACACAGACAGGAGGCAGCAAAGGCACCTTCTATATCCTCTTTGCATGGGCAGGTGCGAGAGTAAGGCACGACCCCTACGCATCCCAGGCCCCTCGGCCCTCGGCCTAGCGATCCTTCACGCATCACGACGACATCTGCCACCTCATGGCACCTAGGAGCCAGAGCTGGTAGCTGGCAGGAGCTTCTTTGCTCCTTGAGCCCTGTGCTCTGGGGCACCGGCCCCTGGTATCTATCTTCAATGTATATCGATGGCAGCCAAACGAATGGGTGAAAGTTGCCAAACTCCTGTTGCGAGATCATGCGAGAAGTTTGCTGCTCATACGTTCTTCAACTGAGAGACCCGCAGCTCGGAACCCCAAACACTGAATCTTCCTCAAGTTCAAAGTTCCCATAGGAGCGAGCCATGTCTTCCCGCACCCATAGGTTTTCCAGCCGCTGGCGGCCGTTAACGGCGGCTACCAAGGGCTCCACGACGTCCTGTTGAGGTGCTACCGTTTTTTGTGAAATTTGCCTGTACCGTGCTTACTCATGGAGTTGGCGGCTGTTGACTTTTGATACTTGGATAGATTGCGGGGCATAACGACGAAGACATCTCGGCGAGAGATGCCACTCTTGCAATGAAACCTGAACGGGACTCAAGTGCCTAGTCAAAAACTCGTCAGAGGAGTATACATGGCCCGTACGGGATTTTCAAACGTCCACCAGGAGCCATCACGAAAGCTATAACCAAGTCCTTCGAAAGAATTTCTCGGGCCAAACTTGCAGTGAAGCTTGGTGGCCCACCCAAATCATGGCGCATCAAACACAGCGACAGGAATGGCTTCCCTCAGTTTGCGAGGATTTGCCACATCATTCAGTCTATGACGGCTGACACTCGGCTGACGAAGGCTGTAATCAAGACTTAGGCTCGTCCCGCGTTGGCCAGCAGGAGGCTCACACAGAGCCATAGGGGAGCAACGCACAGCAGAACCTCGGGGCGGGCTGCGGGTGGCAGCTTTTCTCAGCAGGCATCATCAGGATGAAGATGACGCGAAGTGCGAACAACAACCCCCTTCAAGCCTACAGGAAACCTCACCGGCACGCATACGCGGATGGACCAAGAGCTTGTTCAAACGAACCATGAAGTCACCATGGTCGAGAGAGTCTGGCGACCATGCCTTTGCTTGCTGCATGCCAACAACTTGTTGACTAGACGTCTGGAAAATAACGACATTAGCCACAGTGCCATGCTGGAGAGTGAAGCATATTGCATGAGCGACCTCAAAACTCTTAGACAGGATGCGACGTTTCCGGCAGGTTGGTTCGAGAAGTCCAGAGGCAGCTCCTGTAGGGCGGGCTCATCTAGGAGGAAACGCTCCTCAGCTTCAGGAAGGTTGCCAGATCGACTTACGCCCTACATGCTAAACTGGGTCCCCAAGACAGTTGCCATGCGTCCTCATAGAGCTGTGCGCAGGCACGGCATTTCTCGTGAGTCATCCACTGGCCCAAGCGGAAAAGCGAGAGTTGAAGATCCTTGCAACTTCCGAAAGTTCAACGCTGGCAAACCCGTCAATCAGCAGTAAGTCTGCAACCTGCTTCTGAGCTTGCCGCTGGCCAAACTTTCAGCAAAGCAGGAATGAGGAGCAACGAGAGATACGACGGGTAGGCTAGCATGGACAGAGTTGGCGTCTTGGAGAAGTCAGCTTCCTCAGTTGGGACAGGCTCCGTGCCTTTTGCCCCGAACCATGGACTTGAGTTTGCAGACACATGCTGACCAGCCACACGCGTGACAGCGCTCAAGTGCCAACGTACCAGACTGTTCAACTGCAGCGCATGCCACATGGCGAATCTCTGAGCATCAGTGTCGTCTGTCTGTAACTCACCTCCCGCGTGCAAGATTGCACGGGACTGACTTGACAGCAAACAACGAACCCGGAATCCCTGCCTCTGCGTCCAGGAACTTCCAATTGGCTCAGCGGTTCCGGGCGCTGGACAGCAAGCATTTGCCACTGCAGATCCTGCAGCTACAGTACCACTTTCCCGGACAGTCGGCAATGCACATGCGCAAGACATGACTACGTACTATTGGCCGCAGCCGCCATTTAGGCCAGGTAACTGCAGCACTCTCCCACAGGTCTCCAACAAGGTCAAACTCTGCACAGCTGCCCAGCATGGCTTCGCCCATGCGCAGATCCTGAACTCTGTATAATTATCGCTTAGGCTTGATGCCAATCTGAAGATTCTGCCCTTGCGCCTCGTGGGCGCGAGTTTCTTCACCCATCTGCCAAAGTGCCTGCGAGCGGACGGTCAGCGCCGCCACAAAGCCTTTCAAGGCTGCGAAGTTGTTCAACTTCCATCCCGTACATAAAGTTGAGACTGCATGTTGCATCTGCCCATCTCCTTGCGTCGAGCAGCCGAACGGGCAGAAGTTTGCCCAGCGATTCCAACATCGCCGGCCTCGTGGGGCTAATGTGAGTCCATTTTCGCTAGTCAGCTGTAGCAGAAAGCACCAACTGCATAACTTGTTGAGGGCAAGAATCCTCCCCAGCTGTTGGAACGTCCGTCCCGAATGTAGTGGTATGCACAGAAATCATCCCCATTCCACCTTGGGGTTTCTCTACGGAAGCAGCTGTCTGACATGAATTCACGGCAAAAATCTTGCAGATTCCGAAACCCGAGACATCTAGCACCTGGCCTCCAATCAACAGGTATGTGGTCAGATTCGCAGAGGTCAAAGGAGTGCAAGTAGACCTTTCTCCCGCACGCGCATCTCCAGAAAAAAAGCTTTGTGCTGTTTTAGAAATTTTGAATATACAAAAGTTGAATAGTCAAAATAGTAATGGCTATAATGATGGTAGTTATAGTAATAATGAATAATCCGCCGACCCAGGCGAGCTTACAGTGAAGCCTTCCTCCATCCCAGTGTTCTTCCCCCTCTCTTACCCATCCTACAACCCCCCCCCCGACGGCTCCCCCACGGGCTGGACCCCTCCACGGCTCCCCGAAACTCGTCCCTACTACAACTAAAACCACCATACTGCAACCAGATGGTCCGTACTGAAACTAACAAGCAGACCTTATCAATCCCAACCGAGCGCAAAACCCGTCCCTACGGCAACCAGTACACAACATAAAGAAATTACTATGAGATGCTGGAGGTATTTGTGACAACCCAGTCCATTGAATGCATTCTGGGTCGGCCTCTGCTCTCAGCCCAGCCCATTTCATGTATTCTGGGGTTGGCTCTGCTCTTGGAGTGCTTTGCAGTGGTGTTGGAGAGATCTGGACATTTTGAATGGGACATGTTGAGTGGATGGTATTGGAGGGCTCTTAGTCTGGTGCTCTTGGTATGGTGCTTTTCGTATGGTGCTCTTGGTATGGCGCTCTTGGTATGGTGCTCTCCGTACAGTGCTCTTGGAAGGGCTCTTGGAACAGTGCTTTGCTCTTAGAGGGGTGTTCTTGGAGGTCTCTTGGAACGTTGCTCCGGCGCTCTTGGAGGACTCTTGAAAGACTCTCAGAAGGGTGCTGCTGGACGGAACGGTGCTCTTCAAGGGCTCGTCTGGAGGGCTCTACAAAAGGTGCTGTTGGAGGGAACTTTTGGAGAGCTCTCTGTCGAGTGCTCTTGGAGGGAACGGTGAGCTTGAAGGGCTCTTGGAGGGCTCTTGGAATGGTGCTCTTGGAGGACTCTTTCGGAGAGCTCTCAGAAGGGTGCTCTCGGAGGGAATGGTGTTCTTGGAGGGCTGTTTTGGAAGGCTCTTGAAGCGGTGTTCTTGAACGCATGTTCTTGGAAAGTTGTTGATTCGGGGATTGCAATTGCCGGATGAGGGAAATGAGTGCAATAAGGTCAGAGCCAGGGTGTGCAGTAGGGGCTTTGCCTTTTGTGGTTCTTTGTACTTTGAAATTTGAGAACTGTCATAACTAAGTACTATAAATTGGCTCTGGTTCCAGCACCCTAAAGTCCACAAATAATCATAGCCTAGTATTATCATTTGGTCCTTTCTGGCTCATGGTACCCTGACAGTTGGGAATAGTCATGCATAGTCATGCCTATTTATCATCATTTGATTCCCTGTCATGCATACCCTGAAATTTGGGAATAGTCATAGCAAGACATTACGATTTCACCCCTTTTCGCTCCTTGTATCCAGAAATTTTGGAATTATCGTAGCTAAGAATTATGATTTGGCCTTTGGTTGTTCTTTGTAGCCTCATATTCGGGAATGAAACTACGTATGATGACTGGGCCCTGTCTCGTCCTTTGCATACCCTGAACTTTCGGAATTGTCATAGACACACATTATGATTTGGCCGGTTCTGGTTGCGCATACCCTGAAGTGATTCGCGACTGTTAATTTTGAATGGTCCCTAGTCTAGTACATCTCAGGCTTCCTTGAATTACGAGATGCACCCAAACCATTTAATGTACTCTGGAATGCTGCTCTTGGAGTGCTCTTGGGATGGTGCTGGAGGGGTACTCTTGGAATGGACGGGTGCTCTTGAAATGGCGCTGGAAGGGTGATCTTGGAATGGTGCTGGACGGGTGCTCTTGGAACGGTGCTGGACGGGTACTCTTGGAATGGACGGGTGCTCTTGAAATGGCGCTGGAAGGGTGATCTTGGACTGGTGCTGGATGGGTGCTCTTGGAATGTTGCTGGAAGGGTGATCTTTCAATGGTGCGGTGCTGGAGGGGTGCTCTTGAAATGGTGCTGGAGGGTTGTTCTTGGATTGGTGCTGGAGGGGCGATCCTGGATTGGTGCTGGAGGGGTGATCTTGGAATGCTGCTGGAGGGGTGGAATGGTGCTAAAGGGGTGAACTTGGCCTTTGTTTCCTTGCCCACAATGAAATGTCTGAGTCCTTTCTGGTGACCGATAGCTTGACATTTCGTAATAATCATAACTACGTGCTATCATTTCACAATTTCTGGTTCCTTGTATTTGAGAAAGTCATAGCTAAGTATTATCATTTGGCCTCTTTCTGGTTCATTGTATTGGGACATTGTATTGGGAATAATCATAGCTAACTCTTATGATTTGTTTCTTCTGGTGCCGTGTACCTGAAATCCGGGAAGAGTCATAGCTAAGCATTATCATCTGTTTTTTCTCATTCCCTGCCATGCATACCCTGAAAGTGAGGAATAGCCATAGCAAAATACTTTGAGTTGGCCCATACTGGTTACTTGTACTTCAAATATGGGAATAGTCGTAGCTGCTTTGTCTGGTTCCTTGTACCCTGAAAGTTGGGAATAGCCATAGCTACGTATTATCATTTGGCCTTTTCTCATGCAAACCCTGAAAGTTGGGAATAATCATATCAAAGTGCTGTGATTGTGCCCATACTGGTTCCTTGTACTTGAAATTTGGCAAAAGCTACAGCTAAGTATTATGACTGGGCGTGTTTTTTCTTGCCCGGAACTTTGGTAATAGTCAGTGTCACACCGTATGATTTGGGCATTTCTGATTCCGTACACGGATGTCAATGTTATAGGTGCTCCTTTTAAATCCAATTTCTTGGTACTCTGACGAACGATGGTCCGTACTACAACTCACGTTTCTTTGAGTTAAATCAAATTTCGCTCCCTCGGAGACTCGGAATACAAACCCGATTCTGAAAATATTGCTGTCCTTGAAGTTAATAGCTGGAAGTGATAGGGGGTTCGTGGTTTTCCTGAAATCAGCCTCCGGTTACAGTACAGACTGCCTGGTTGTGGTAGAGGGCTTCTGGTTGTAGTGGGGACTAGTCGCGACCCCCCCCCCCTACCCCGCTGATGATGCAGCATCATCGGCATTGCCGGAGGTCCGTTCTCTTTTCAAGCCTTACTGTTTAGCTATCATCCGTCACTACTATTCCACTTAGTTCTACTCTGGTGTGTGTGTGTGTGTCTACGATGAATTTCTTGTCCTGTTAGTTACTACGCCTGCTGCCTTCTTAGCTGCTGCGCCTGTTACTGTATTCCGCTGTTGACCACAGAGGCGGCAGGGCGGGCCATTGCCACTACGCCTAAAATCGGGCAACGCCCTGAAGTTTCTGCCGCGGGCCATGGCCTTGGCTGCGCCAACGAGCGTACAGCAGTTCCAGATCCCCCCAAAAGCATCATGAGCACGGACGTTTTTTAAAACTAGTCCCCGAGGCCTGTCTTGGCTCAGGCACCAATTTTTGCAGGTTGGAGGGGGTGCTGGCTGGAAGCCCTCAGATTGGGGAAACGAGCCCGCAGTGATGCTGATGATGCTGGCCCGCCTGGCCAGCATCATCAGCATCATTGGGGCTTCGTTTCACCAATTTGGAGGTATCAGGCTGCACTATGGAGCTGGGGCAGTCCAGATGCCGGCTTAACAGCGGATTTTGTTTCAGAGTGTTTTATTGTTTTTGGCATCATGTCTGTTGCCTCAACGCTTGCTTGATGGTTTTTCAGACTTTTTATAGTTTTCTGCAGGTTTAAGCATATTGGCAGCAATCGCCGACCTGGCCGCCCGCCAAACCTTCCAACCTGAACAACCCGAGCCTAAACACCCAAACCCTAAAGCACCCCCAACCCCTGAACCGGAAACAACCCCAAACCCTGAACAAAAAACTTCCCTAGACCGTGAGCATCCTAGACTCTAAACCCTACACCCCTCAACCCTAAGCCCTGAAAATCACGTAAACACTCTGAAGGCGTAAGGTCGTAACCCTACACCTGTCAACCTTGAACCTGATAGCTTCGAGCAACACACCTCATGCACACATGCAATGGACATGACTGCACTGACATGATTAGGGCATCTACATGAAACAGACATGGAAAGCATCTTCAAGATTGTATCCAAAGTGGTCCTTTCAAGGAACCGAAATCATCGTCACCCCACCAAAGAATGGCCAAAGAATGGCAAACAGGGATGTTTCCAGGCTTTTTACAATGTCTTCACTCTACAAAGTGGGACCACAAGTCCTACCATGCCACACAGCCAGCAAGTCCACTACAGCAAGCATGCACGAGAAGTCCTTTGTTTGGTTTGCCGAGCGTGCTCTTGGAACACGAACGGAATTATGGTTTGGGCATGGATGCCCTGGTCACCGTATGCTCTTGGAACACGAACGGAAAGCCAACAAATGTAATCCTCAAAAAACGTGCGTTTCGCTGGAGGGAAAAAGCGCCCGATGGCTCTTTCAAGTCTGTCTCTGAGAGCAAATCCTCTGTTTTCATTGTCCACGTCTGCAATATCAAACCAATCATCAATTGCGTCTTCTAACGCAAGCCACGAGGTCTTGCCACCCAATGAAGATGGTATTTATTTTTGTGGTCACCTGGGAAAACTGCGGGATTCGTGCTATAACGTATGTTGACATTGTTTGCGTGGTGTACGCCCTCCTCATAGAAGTCCTCGTCACGCATGTCAGCGTAAAATCATCTGCCCTGGCTTCTGAAGCTACTGCGGGAGCTCTCCTTTCTAGCTCCCGGCACGTCCAGGGTACTCTTCTTTAGGCGGTACCTCTGCGAAGATAGAGCCTTCCCTTGAAAAGAGCTCCGCAACCACGTTGAAATTGAACCCGTGCATACCAAAACCTCTCAAAGAGTACAGTTAGGCAGGCAGCAGCCTGTGTTTTTCTCTACGCGCAAGACTCAAGCACTGCCTGCCTAAACCTTTAAGAATGCGGCACACACCAGAACAACTTGTGGCAACATGTCTGCACGTACATACAACTGACAGCATCTAGACAGGACGGTTCTGAATGCGCCCCTTTCCCCCGGGCCTCCCCCGCCACTCGCTCCACTTAAGCATGCATGTAACTAGCCCGCCCAAGCAAGCATGCAAACAAAAACTTGCATGTTCACTCATGCGTTCACTGACTGGCTCCCCTTCCCCGCTCCTGCCCATCCTCGCTGGCTGCTCTCCTCTTATTCACCATTGTCTCACCGTCATCATCAGCATCATCATGCCCTTGGTTGTTGCAAGCAGTTATGCCGATGCAGCACTTCGAGAGGCGAGGTAGAGCATGCATCGTTACTGAAAAGGCACCTGCCAAGTGGTGCACCTCAGACTGTTACCTATGTGAGGTAGTTTGATCTCTAAAAGCGGTTTTCTGACCTGAAAAAAGGCGAACAAAACCATGAAGGAACAGCAATCTGGAGATACTCTGCAGGTTACACTAGCTTTCCTCCAAGTGTTCCAAATGGGAACATTTTGACCAACGCACTTGTCCAGTTGGGTGTTTTCTCCGAGGAAATGGTGCAACTGGGCAGTGTTTTTCCCCTTTCTCAGCTCCTGCAGAAGGACCTCAAAAGCCACCAGGTTCGTGAGCGTGACTATCCAGAATGGATCAGGTCGCAGTGCAGTTGCAGGTTTCTGCTACCGTCGTCATTAATGCCAGCAGAGATTTTCAATGTTTTGAAGGCTGATGCATTTCAATTTACAAATCATCATAGCGTTCGTGCTACATGAACATGCGGTCGCCAGCGCATCCATGCCCAAATCATAATAACGGCCAGGTGACTAGAGCATCCATGCCCAAACCATAATAACGGCCGTGTCCTCATTGCATCCAATTCACTGACCATCCATGCCCAAACCAGAATAACGTCCGTGATCCAAGAGCATACGGTGACTAGAGCATCCATGCCCAAACCATAATAACGTCCGTGATCCAGGAACATACGGTGACTAGAGCATACATGCCCAAACCATAATAACATCCGTGTTCCAAGAGCATACGGTGACAAGGGCGTGCTGTAACCACAACATGGGCATGCAAAAACTAACCGCGTCAAGCAAGTTCCGAACCACGATCTGCAACTGCTAATGCACGCTGAGGCAATGGCAGCACGAGGGACCAGTTTTTGCCATGCTATGCAGCCAAATTGTCCAAAATTTGGTCTCACTAGCCAGTTATGGGTCTCATATAATTTGCAAACATACGTAGGCTGTGGGAGACCAAATTTTGGACCTTTCGCCTCTAACGCAGCGCAAAAACTGGTCTCCCGTTTGATGGTGCTTTTTCTGAGTCCGCAGGTCCCTCCTCACGTGCTCGTGTTCCTCCGTCAGCCAGCATCGTGGGCCCGGAAAAGCGCTTGCAAGACCCTGAGACGTGCCTCGGCGAGAGCATCTCCTTCTCGGGCACGTGCAAGCACGCCTCCATATCATTCGGGAACACCGTGACTCGGCCAGCATGCCGACAGAGCAGGTTGGAGTCTTCGAACAGGCGCCGCATCAGCGTCTCCGTTGCGGTCTGAAGAGCACGCGTGGCCTGATCCTTTACCTTCAGGTGATCCTGCCCCAAGTCCTTGAGCCATATTTGACGAGCCGCTCAAAGCCCACTTTAAAAATGTGCATCCTGGTTTCATGCTCCGTGGCCTTGCGATCCCGCATCTCCTTGCGCAGCTTTGTCTGCACGGACTTGTCACCACGGCGCCCTGGCTTCGACAAGCTCGCCATTGTTTCTGTCACTGCTTCCGTTGGGCCCAGGGCACGCTCAGCCAAACACGTCTTTGCAGGAAGCACGGTTCTGTACTCTGGCAAGTTGAGATCACGCCGAGACGGCAGTGGCTCGTCAGCCTCTTCAGCCTGCCAGGCATGCAGGCAATTCGTTCAGGACACGCAGGAACGGCTGACAGCAACACCACAGCCTCCTCTTCGTGAGTCTTTTCCGCCTGGCAAGCTAAAAGAGTCAGAACCCGACTAAAAGACGGAACTTGACTTTCGCACGCTTCCTTGTTCCAACCTGCAAGCCGCCCGAACGCAGCCAAGCATGGAACAGCCGTCCTTGCGCCTCCCGACATGCTCAGCAGGCTTCTCTAGCACCAAGTCCGGTCCTGCGACGGATGCGCAACGCGCCCAAAAATAGCTGGCAGCATCCTCTTCTTCGGGGAAGAGACCAGCCTGACTCTTGACGGGGGCAGCTGTGTGGCACAGCAAACCACTGAAGACAATCGACAACGGCTTGTCATCATCTGATTCGGCCATTGTGTCCTGCCAAATTCGACACGCAACTGCGCACTTTCCGATCAACACCCGGGAGTCCTCGCTGGCCCCAGGCACAGACTCTATGGCAAGAGGGGCCCCGCAGCGTGCACACTCGTTGCCCCAGCACTTGTCAGCCATTGATAACAAATGCCCATGACCTCCAAAATTGGCAGGGCGCAACTTACAGCAGAAATCAACTAGACTGACTCTGAGAAGGCAAGGCCTTTTCAACTCCATCCAGCCACAACGTGGCACGGCAGTCGGCACGCTCGTCCCCAGGCACGCTGCGCGGGTAGTTCTTGCGACACACCGGGCACTCACCCAGGACCCCGTCCTGAGTCTGCGCATCCTGCAGTCAAACATGGACCATGATCTTGAAAGCCAATGCGCGGGAGTTCTGGCGGTTCGCCGCAAGAAAAAAAACCTTCTCCTTCGCGCAGCGTGGGACCAGTTTTTTGAAACGCAAGGGTGCCGGGCCTCTAAAATTTTGTCTCCTGCACATGTGCTGGCGTGGGGTTTACTGTCCATCGTGACCCAAAAAGAATCCTGATTAATATACATACATAGCCCAAAATTCTCACACCAGCGATTCATGAGCCCAGGCCTGGTTCCGCGCTGCAGCACCTGAGATTTGGCTTCAGAGGAACGCATGTAGCCAGCCGGAAAATTTGCCAAGCCCCAGGCGGGTAACAAATTCGCGGACACAGGACAGAGATAGCTTCCTGAGAAACATCTCACAAAGCAAACTGATGAGCTCGCGCGGCACGCTTCTTACAAAATACTCTCTCTCAAAGTAATCGGCCCACGACTGCTCTCCCCATTGCTCCCGAATCCAGATGAGGAAGTGCGCCAGCGCAACCCGCAGCATTGCATGGCTCGGCATGAACATCAGCTGGGCAACGACACTAATCACTGCCCATATGCTTCGCACACGCAGGTGCGGAGCTCGTCCGCGCGGCGCAGCCTTTGCCTTCGGTTTGCCCCTAGGTCGGGCTTTGGGTTTCGCTGCTGACTTGGGCTTCCGGGCCGGTCGCGAGCCCTTGGTTTGGTTGGATCTCAAATTTCTTTTCATATGTTCTACACCGCGACGCAACGCGGTGCCGGGGAAGACTTCCTCCGCTGCTTAGCAACTGCCATCAAAACAATCTTCACGGTCAGCTAGACACTGAAAAAGAGTTCGTTCGACATGGATTTGATAGTCCTTGAAAGGATATCACATTACGCTGAAGATATACCGGCACACTGTCTTTGAAGGAAACTGACCGTGCAGCTACGGGGCCATACATAACATTAATGGCTGGCTCAAGCCGCAAAAGCAACAGCAAGAAAATTGCACCAGGTTCATGACCGAGGGACTAAGTTCAATTGAGTGGGCAGAGGAAGTGATCTGTCCTCCAGCGCTGTCCGCAGTGACCGGAAAAGCTCCACGTAAATCGACGTGTCTTCACTATTCGAGCAGCACGTGATCAGCGGCCACGCTGATACATGATAGGTCGACTTCAAGCGACGAAAGACACGCAAGCCTTACAGAAAATGTGCATTTTGACAACACCTCCTTTTCTCAATACATACCAGTGACAACTCAAGCCAATTTTGCACAAAGAAATTTTGCTGGCAAGTTGCAGAGAATGCCGTACGAATAGTTCATGACAGTCAGCCGAAAAGTGAAGTCTGGAGTTATGAAGATCTTGGAGCTCTCTGAAGCAAGGGACTGCAACTGATCCAAGAACCCAGTCAGCTGTGCAACCCAACGAAGGGGCTGCTCCTGCTCCTGCCGAAACATGAAATTCATGTCAACCGTGTTGACTGAAGTGACAACGCAACTGTCAACTGGGACTCTCGAAATTGCTTTGTGGCAGTGCCTTGTTGTTGTTGCGCATCCATCGGAGAATCCCGTGCCCTGGCTGTTGGGAGGGATCTTCCATCAGCAGCTAGCCGTTTCACCGCCTTCCGAAAAGAGGCCATCAACTGCTCTGCGCAGTCTACAACAGCCCGTCTGTCTTCCACAGTAATTAATCTCATCTGCATTGAAGCGCTTTGCAGCTCTTGCTTTGCGCCGTGTCGGCCACATTCGCCAGCCTGTTCAACACGAAGCCTATAGACACCATCGTGCAAGCGGCCAGTGAAACGAAAGGAGCTGCCGGATCTTGAGTGACACTCCACATGCATATAGCACAATGCAGAGCACAGCCACTCATCTGTCGGAGTGAACGTGACTGACGAGAAGCTGCCAAGCTCCCACTTGTTCTTGCTCGCCCACTTGCGCGCAGCTGCCCGCAACAGGTCTTGCTGCGATGCATCCAAGGCTAGGTCATCATCCGTGGCCAAACTCCCTTGATATATCTCAGTGTACTCAAGATGCCGTCGTCGCTTCACAGGGCATGCAGCCATGATGAACGCAGCGCTCGTATGCAACTCTATAGCTTGCACGTTCAATGAAATGTAATCAATTGGTGCGAACAGCTGTGGTTCTCGCGATACCTTGCTTGCTCCCTCAATGGAGGCTTTGATGCAGGTCTTACTTTTTGGGGCCCATGCGTCACGTGTCAAAAACATGTCTGCCTGGCTGCAGCGCGGCCACGGAAACCAGTCGTCGAGCTTATTAGCCAGAACTAGCCAAGATTAGGAGCAAAAGTTGTCCTGGACCCCAGCCCAGGACTGGGAGACCAATTTTTGAACTCATTAACCAAGATTAGGGGCAAAAATTGGGCTCTCGCGGGTCCGGCCTCCAAGGCAAGGCCAGGGCAGCACCCACTGCCCAGCCCCGAACAGCGGCCAGCTATCTACTGCTGTTTACTGCTGTTTGCACATCTGCTCTACTGCTGTGCTCTGGAGATGGACTAGCGTGATACACTGCCCACACCAATCGCTGTTCCGCCCAAGACCTATCAACGTTCTGCATCTTCATTCATGGTTTCAACTCACACTCATACGGTGACTAGAGCATCCATGCCCAAACCATTATAACGTCCGTGATCCAAGAGCGTACGGTGACTAGAGCATACATGCCCAAACCATAATAACGTCCGTGTTCTAATTGCATTCGATTCACAGAGCATACATGCCCAAACCATAATAACGTCCGTGATCCAAGAGCATACGGTGACTAGAGCATCCATGCCCAAACCATTGTAACGTCCGTGATCCAAGAGCATACGGTGACCAGAGCATCCATGCCCAAACCATAATAACGTCCGTGTTCTCATTGCATTCGAGTCACAGAACATCCATGCCCAAACCATAATAACCCTGACCTTTGGTCTATGGGCAAGCAGCTGGCAGCGCTCGCAAACGGCAGGTGAAGACATTTTCGTGCAGAGGTACTTTTCATGCGCACCAGATTCCACTGTAAAACGCAGTGCATTGCGCACATCACAAGCAAGAATAGTGGAAATACCAGTCAATTTGGCGCATGCCTTTCACCTACACTTTTTGGTCATGCGCTCGAAACCACCATGAAACGCATTTATTTCATTTACACCTCCCGAGAGCGACGTGCTGAAACTGCGCGGTCGCCAACCACGATGGTACCAGGTTTCGATTTTCTACAGAGGACGACTCATTTTTTCGGATTCTCTTTGGCGCTTTCGTGGACTTTTGTTTTGGTTGGGTTTTGCTCTTGGTCTTTCAATGGTTGTTCGTGATCTTTCGGCGTGGTTAATCTGACATTCTCTTGCGTGTAAGGTCTCCAGCAGACTCCTAAAGGCGACTTCCCAACTATGGGATTTGTTGGTGTTGCAGACGAGGAAACTGATGAGAAATATCATATTATGGCAAGTGAAAGGGCGAGCATGCAGAACAGCAGGGCCAACAAAAATAGATGCTAAACCTACGCTCAACACAGCAACACGCCACTCGGAGGTGGCGAACTCGCCACTCATAGGCGGCGAACAAACAAACAACAACAGACATATACAAAGACTTCTGTACAGTAGTTTAGTTGAGAGTTTGAGCATCCAGCATTTCATGCAAGGACTCACCCGCCCCCCTCCCCACAAGCCTCCGCTCGCGCCGCTGTCGGTGGAAGTGGCGGCAGCCATTAGTTCGTAATAGTGATGGCAATAGTAATAGTAATAGTCAGCACATAATACTAGTAGTAAGAATAATGATATGTTAGTAACAGTAATGGTAATAGTAATAATGAAGAAACTGCATTGTTTGCTTCTCTGGGTTCCCAAGTCCCTCACTGTGGCCATCCACAGCCACGCCTCGCTGGCAAAGAGCTCCTCAGTTGGAAATATAGGTAAGGGGTTATGTAAGTGTTATATAGGGATTATATGAATATAGGGGTTATGTAGGGGTTATATAGGGGTTTATAGGGGTAATATGGGGGTTGTATAGGGGTAGAATAACGGTTACAGTGCTCACAACTCCTGGCCCACATGGAAATTGAGCAGTTCCTATATTGGGCAAACTATATTGCCTGCTAGATATACCCATTATGGCAACTTCATTCAGTACCTGAAAGCTGCAGCATGCCTAAAACCGTGCAATCAGAACATCCGGATGCATCAAATCAGCCTGACTATTCTAGACTCGCGCTTAGAACTAATCACCATCTGTGCTTGACTCGGGAGGCTTTTTGATGCTACCGACTCCTGCTAACACAAGCAGCACGATATTGCATGCTGTCGCTCTTCTACTCAGGTTGCTGACGGGAGTCGATGATTTTCACGGCCTGGGCCAGCAACGATGGCGGTGTTCTTTCAGAAGACGCAGCCTCCCAGCGCTGTCGCGTCACCACACGCAATTCGAGCCAAAGCCCTGAGGGCATCTTGAACCAAGGTGAAAGTGATAGACAAACAGTGCCAGTACAAATGGCTTCGCATCTAGATCCAACTAAGTCTACCGGCATGTCCTTCCATCCCCGCAGCGCACGTGCCCAGTCTCGCCACACCTGCATTCGCATCGACTGACAAGGAAGACATCAGGGAATGCTTTCCAACAGCAGGTCCAGGCCTGATGAAAGCTAGGGTCGTCACACAGAAGCCATGGTGGCTTCTTGTTTCCTCCGGAGGCTCCGGTTTGGCGACTTCTTTACCCAGACATCCAGATGCGCTGTGACCAAGGTGCTGGCTTGGCAGGAGGCGAACAAAGTCGAACTCCTCATCGCTGGCCTCTAGACAAGTGGAAGTCTGAAACTACACAGCAGGTTTTCCCATCATCGTCACCTTGTCTGCTGCCTTGTTGGCTTTCTTCTTCTTCGAATTTCTTCGACATGTATCGACACTGGATACTACTTGAACTCATACCACAGCTGGTAATCGCATTGGTTACTGAGCAATTAACGAACTGCAGCTCTTCATCTCTTTCACTCTCTGGGGCAGAGCTGCAGGTTCAGGTCTGGGCTTTGCGTTTAGGATTACAGCTTTTGGAAAGGGTCTGCGTTTTCTTGCAAGTTTCTCCAAGCTCCTGATTTGGGCCGTTCCCATCCTCCCGTTTGTCTCCACGTTCCCTTTGCAGGATCTTTGCAACTGAGCCTCTGGTAAATGTGACCCAGGGTAGTGTGCTCGATAAGCTTCTGCTAGATGATGTATGGAATTAGTAGGCGAGCTTTGAGTGGTGGCTCCTTGTCTCATGATGCGCGCGCGCCCCGTGGACACCACGCTTTTATGTTCATTGTCGTAATTGATGTGAAACCTTCGCCATGTTTTTGGAAGCCTGTTGGCATACTCAACACAAACCGCAGAGAATGTACCCTTTTGTTAACGGTACATTGGCACACTTTTCACGTGTCTAGGGCTTGCATGGTGAAACATGTGTCGCGACGGTACATTGGCACACTTTCCACGTGTCTAGGGCTTGCATGGGGAAACATGTGTCGCGAATGTGTGGCAATTTAGTTTTGTGAGGACTCCACGGGCTCCAGGACAGGCAGTGCAACCAAATGTTCCGGAAAACAATTTTGAGACATGCCGACCCAACACAGGAAAAAATCAGTAACCAAGACACTTGTGCGAACAAGTCTTCAGTTACCAAGATTGCTTCGCTAAGGCGAAAATCGCGTGCTTGGTCAACCAAACACGTGTGCTGAAGATATCTAAATTGAGTAGCATGTGTTTTAATCTTTTTTGATGGTCGAACCTGCGCTACATCCCTTATTAGTCTATGAGCTACCATACCTCAAAGGAGGATATATTATCTTACAGTACTCCATATTGGGTCTATAGTATCCCCAAAAATACGATTGGTGATAAGCCTTGTCTGTGAAAAATCCGGATACAACCAGGCTGTTAGTACAGGACGCGGTTTTCCAACTAGTTTTATTCCATGACGGGAAACGTGCAAAATCTCCGTTCAACGAGTTATAACAAGCTTATCCCTAACATGACTGCAAACATTAGCCAAGGTTTCGCTCGGACGATGGTGTCCTCCGTTTCCCTTGAAGTGAAGATTATGTTGTTGAAGCAGGCCGGGAGGACACCACCATGACTTTTTGTTTCTTTCGGTGGTGCGCGGTGTCCTCAGGAACGGGAAGTCCTGGCCACCATGCCCTGTTGTTCGTTGTCGTAAGTGAGTTGAATCCTTCAGAAATAACCCTTTTGGACTCCGCGGAGTCGAATTGCCACGCTTCATCACGCTTTCGTGGAGACCCTTCCGCAGCTTCGTGCGATTTCGTGGTACGTGGAGCCCCTCACGGCGCTCAGAGCCAAAGGCATGTACTACAGCAGTTATGCAAAGTTGTCTAAATGCAGCCTGTCATGTTGTGCTAATCGTTGAATGACATGATGATGTCAGGGTTGACCGTGAGACTCATTCAACTTTGGGCAAGGCAAACATGCCGACTTAGCACCAAGCTTTTTGCCGTACTGTTCTCAACAAGCAGTGCATCAGGCATCCACGCCTGGAAGCTCTCAGCATACTCCAGTGTCTTGGCAGAAGGCTCCTAAGGCAGCTCAGGTGACAAGAAATGAATAGAATAGAACTTAGGACGAACATGCACCTGACGCTTTATCCCCAAAAGCTGCTGAGGGAAGATGCCCATCTCGCGCGCGGGTTGCTTCTGCATGCTTCTGCAACGGGCTACGAGCACTGTACATTTGATGGGAGGTGCCTTTTGGCCGGAAATGCTTGCTTTCTGAGCCACCGGGTCTTGGTTCTGTGATCCTTCTGAGGATTCTGTTTTCTGCTGTCAAGGCTGTTGTTGAGCAGGGCACCTTGGCCATGAGGAAGCGCCTTTGTCGGGGGAAGCTGTTCATCCGAAGCGAAATCAAGAAGGCATCAAGCTGTACTGGTCCTGGCTGGTGTCCTCTACCAGGGCATCTCTAAGCCAGGCAACAACCAACAAGTAAGCCAAGGTCTCCACAAACTGCAAAGCGGTCACAATCATGGCGGCGAGCTGAAGGGGATTGTCAGAGTCGCGCAGGGCAATCTGGAATATGGCAATGTATAGGACCAGCAGGGCGCTTCCGAATCCCAGGATGAGTTTACCATGGAAGGAGGTCCGACCATGCATGGCACACCAGCTGGTCCACGTCCAAACTGGAAGCGCCACCGCGCTTAAACCAAGCAGAATACGGCACGCCTGCGGCATGTTGGAGCTACAAAGTCCCCAGTAGGCGTAGAACATGCCTTGGAAAGCAGCAATGATCTGACCATGGCACCAGGTCTTCTTCATGAGTAGGCGGCTGGTGGCCGCATCCAAGTTCTCAGGCTCATCAGGTGTCTGGAGCTCAGCTGCACCATTATGAGCCATGACAGCTTTTGGGCCACACCAGTGAGCAGCGGGCTTGACAGAACCGCTGGAGCACCTACTCCAACAAAATCATCAATCGAGGCCCGGGCCGTACCAGCGGACGTCTCCAAGAGGTCGGAGATCAATTCCGTAGCAGCTGCTCCAGACCAGCCTCAGCTATATGAAATCAGACACAGCAGCTCAGGACCAGGTGAAGATCATGAAGCTGCGTCACATAGCTGAGCTGTGACAGGCACACGGCCGACAATGCAACCGCCTTCAAACTCTTGTCCTGCCGGGATAACACAGAGGTCTGCCCGTTATGCGAAATGAATGGACAGCATGATGAGCAAATGCTTCCTAAGGCACGGAAGTGCACTGATGTTCGCCCGGCTCAAGCTCCCAGGTTGAAGCACTCGTGTCCTGGAGCTAGGTTCGGTGAGTCTGACTGGCTGGGTGGTGTCGTCAACCAAGCTGAGTACCTGAGTTGGTAGTCTGCTGCGATGCAACCTGCGAAGCTGGCCAAAGGCCTTGCAGGGCTCGCACCGGGCAAGGATGTTCAAGTCTGTTTGGCGCGGAATTGGCAGCCACACTGCTGAGTCTCCAAAGCCCGTCGCATAAGCAATGTACCTCAGGCTAGGCTGTGCACATGAGTAAAGTAGCATCGCAAGGAGTCTCGGAATTCTTGTGATGATTGGGTGGGGCCGAGGCACTCAATGCTGCTCTTTCGGATAACGTCCGGCTCCTCTCATGCCGAAGGAGGATGACACTTCCGATCAGTCTGAGAACAGGACAGCGACTCCTCTTCATTCACACATTGCCAAGGAATACAAACCGCGACACCTCCAGCCAGCGCCTTATCTTGCGATTGCAAGCTTGAGCTTCAGAACATCGATCTAGCTCATGCGCGCAGCGATGATCGATGTGTGGTGACAGCGATGATGCAGAATATGCTGGCAACTTACAGGGGTGCCTGAGCTTGGCACTTGCCATCTGGTATCATCTGCGTTGCGCTCCAAGTGGTCCAGGAACCTGCGCAGACGTAATACACATCCTTTCCGACTCAAGCAGCAGTGAACTGTCTCTTGCAGATCTTCCATGAGCACGTCATTTAAGCACAGCGCTTGGTCAGAACGTGCATCTCCCTCTCGATGAGATCCCTGCAGAGAATAACGCCCAGCTTGACAGAATCAACTCAAAACTTGTTATGAGCAGCACTGAAACATGGTGTGACCCTCCGCCATCGACTAGCTGTGACAGCCAATCAGGCAAAGTCCGCCACCTCCCTCGATTGCTTGTGTACTCTTGGATGTTGAGCTGAACCGCCACAACCTGCCACAGATTCCAGCGCATCAACCAGGAAATCCTTCGATAGACTCAAGTGAAGAATGCCTGGTGCTGGCGGGAGAGGCAGGCCGAGTACGTCTCGCGCTGTCCACGTGGAGGGAGGGCCTTGCATGCGAGGCAGATAAAAACTTCCAGTCTCAGCCTCTTGAATCACTCTTCGACTTGCAGGCCCAGTCTTTCATGCATTTGAACGAAACACCACTTAGCAGATGTCAAGTACGGGAAGAAAATAGGCTGCAGTGAAGAAGGGCGAGAGCAAAAAGGGTGACAGACAAAGAAGATGGCGCGGTAACGAGCGGATCAGCAAGGGGGCAGCCAAAGCAGGCAAAGAGTGGCCACGCATCAACAGCAAAGAGAGACATGAGAAACAATTGCTCTTTGAGCGACCCTGCTGCCTGCAAAGCATGGGCATGAGACCCAGGACTCTGGACCAGGCCTGCTCGAACTCGAATTGTTGCCAAAGCCTGGCAGGTCTCACAGCCTACACGCATGTCCCTATGCAAGACACCCTGGCTACCATGTCAAAGAGGGTCAGCCACAGAACCGCCAAAGACTCACAGGCCAAGGGCAGAGTTCAGTTAACCTCCTAGCGCTGATTTCGTCGTGGCTCTTTGCCTAGAAGTAGACATGCAAGATATGGTGACAACCCCACCCTCTCCGCTGAAGCTCTCATGTGGTTTGGGAGGACTGCGGGTGCTGGCAAAAGCTTTAAATGTTGAACCAGGCTTGGGCGGCGGGTTGTGTCCCGTAAGCACAACGAAAGCTGAAAGAAAGTCCTTTGATAGAAACAATGCATCTGGTTGGGCTTGTTTCTGGCTTTGGTCTCTCTGCATTTTGGAGGGCGTGACCCCAAAGTGCAGCTTCGCGGTTTTGCTGGCAGTGCTGGCAGCACTGGACTTGGGTCAAATCCACGGCTGAGGTCGGAGGACCTGCTGGCTAAAGCAACGTTGGGGTTTTGGAAGGAAATACAAACAGCCGGTGCCACATCTGCAAGCTTCGATTGCAACATTAGCATGTCTCCCATTGAGTCCTCGCACATGCTCATTACTTTCAGGATCAAGAAGGGCATCTATCTATATGGGTTCATGACTTTGAGAACGTCCAACATGCCAGCTCGGCGACAGTTGAGCATCCGGAGCTATGTCACGCTGCAGTTGGGCCCAGTACGTGTTGAAACAGCTCTCACCTGTCCAAGCACTGTTGATCACACCTCGCCCTCTGTATGGTCTGCTACGAATGAAGGGTGCGTTTCGATGCAGATCCTGTCTCTATCGTACTGTGGAGATACTGCTGAAGTTCGAACAAAGCTGCTTGCTACGCCTGGGTGCAAGAGTCGACGGGATTCAACACGGAAATTTTCCATCCTGGGACGTTCTCTCCCGCTGCACTGCGTGCCTTCACCCCATCGCCTGGAGAGCTCCTGCATCAAATGTAGAAAGATCACGTAAATAGCGCATGCCAAAAGAAGCAAACTCCATGGGGCATCATGAGTGGAAGTTTTTGGCGCGTAGCCCGAGTCACCCTGGCAAGTTCAAGCTGCTGAAGTCTTGGCGAACTCCAAGGCCGAGTTGAGGCATGCCAAAATGCAGAATGTCTGTCCCTTGCGGAAACCAGACACCACTGGCCCATCTTGAGCAAGCCATCCATCAGAGACTGGCGGTGGTTCAAAGCTGTTGTGTGACCCTTGCTTCAGGTGTTGGCACTTGGCGATGGTCTCCTCAGCAGAGGAAGCTTGTCAGAGTCACTTCCTTCAGCGTTCCTCGCCTGAAAGCCTGAAGTATCTCAAGCTTTCTTCGCCTTTTTGGGAGCTCGGTAGGGCCAGCAGCAAGGCCTTGTGGGCAGATGCTGCGAGCCTGTTCCAAAGCACGAGCTGCCGCGGGCAAATTTTCTGAGCAGCCTCGACAATGACGACGAAGGAGGACCCATGATGACGAGCAGGGTCGCTCTCATAAATCACAAAATCAAAGCCGTGGCGCACGGCACAGACTACGAAGTATCCACGGGCACTCAAATCTGCAAACACTTGTGAGCGTGAGGAACCTAAGCCTACATCCGCCTGATGCAACTGTTCAGGAATGTAAGCGAAAGGAGCTCCCAGCCGTGAGTTCTGCTGTGGGTTCGAAGGAAGCGTGCCCATGGGCAGTCCAAACACTGGATGGCTACGTCTGCGGAGCTCCATGTGTCGCTGCACGTCAAAGTCCAGGATAACGCCCTTGCAGGTCAGCTGCTCAGGCTGCTGAGGCTGCTCCCTTTCATGCTTCCGCTGAGCTGACCGCGATCTCTCACGCTCAGACATGCTTCCACGGGCAAGCGGTGAAACTTCGGTCAATCAGAACGACGTTCATGCATGTCAGACTAGAAAGCTTGTACCAGCTCATCATTCATGCTCGACGCTTGGCTTTCATTCAAGGACTGGTGTTAGGAATGAAAATGCAATCGTTTTGACACATGTCTTGGCGCACGTGATGCTTTTTCTTTCAAGCATAGGCACATGGTGCAACAGTGAGCTGAGCCAATGTCGGCTGTCAAGGCGGTAAGCGGATTTGATAAACAGCCATTCAGGATTGGAAACGCCTAGTTATTGGATGTTATCGGCTGTAGTATCGTCTAATCTGCGAAAGCTTGACTGCCAGACAACAAAGCTGGAAAGTGCATAAGTGTTGAGAGATTAAGCTGGCGGCCTTGAATTGGGACCCGCGGCTTGCTGTGGCCTGTATTACTTGACTTGTTCCCGGAGCCAGTCATTCAATCCTGTTCTGACGGAAACTGCTGATCCTCAAAGCGGGCTCAACAACCATGAGCCCCAAGCGGAATACAGTACAGCAGCAGCATTCGCAAGAAGAATACTGAAAGCAAAAAGGTGATCCGTCTCAAAAGGGATGACGCATAGGGGCCAGCATGCAGGAAAGCAACCTCTACGGCCGTCGAGTTCCAAGTAAGGGCACGCCCTTCTTCGCTTCTTCTATCCCTGAGGTCCGTCAACTGTTCCCAATTTATGTGCTGCTGTAGCCTGCTATGCCCAAGTGGTTACCAGTGGTTGTGCTCGGCTTTGCTCTGCCCTCTCATCCCGTATCTTCAGCCCACAAGAGAAAAGTCCTCTACTAGTGAACACGGTCCTGGCAGTGCTACGTTCAATAAGAACAGGATCGCGCTACAGCTGATGCTGTGGCACACTTGTGGCCACAAAGGTAGGACCAAGATGAAAACCCAACTTGAGAGCCATGGGCTGGGACGAAAGCTCGACAATGGACAGGGC